GTGATAATATCGCCAGTTAGAACACTGACTTATTGACCAGACCAATGATACATAAACCAGTATGAGCAGCATAGAGTCAACTCTGTGTTCTTATTGGTCCTCCAAGACAGTACCTCCTCGATTAACCCAGCCTGTTCAGTTCAGAACACCAATATCAGCCTCAGCTATATAAATCATGTATTTCAGACATACGCATTTTATATACAAGCAAATCAAACCGTATAATAACATAAAACATAAAATAGCAAATATACACCAGGCGGAAAGTTGCTGTGATTATGAAAGACCATAACTAATAAATTAAGAATAACTTAAGAACAGTAAGTCATACAATGGTAATTAATAAGTCAAATGGAAGCTTATAATAAAATGAATATGAATATACGCATAATTTAGTTACTTATCAATTAACCAATAAGAATATGTATAATGACTGTCAATAAATAGATCTTCGGCTGAATTTAACAGTGTTTTCCCAAATAATTCGTATCAGTTCATAACAGATACATAAATCATTGCACTTGTTGGCTTACTAGTAAACTAAAACTTGTAACATCAGTGTTATGATAGTGACGACAACAAAATAACATTGACATTGTACAATTCACTTCACTGATTTTCAATGAGTGAATAATTTAATATTTACAGAGATGGAATATGGAATTGGAAAAGAAAGCACAAAATCTATCCAATCAGTGTAAAAATGAACACGATAAGAATGATGAACGAAGAATACAGGGATTTCAATATGTTGGACAGACATGGGCTGGTACATACAAGGTAGAAAGGTGAGTTTGATCTGTCGTCCATAATATGTGATTTTAGGAAGATTATATATTTGCAGGCATTAAGAGTACATTCGTAGAAAGTTTTTATTCACCTTCTCGGAGTAACATAAGTTAAATGAACTTATAGGAGGCCTAATGGATGTAGCAACAAGATGGATTGCATTTCAAGATGTAGAGATACTCCTCGAAAAATAACAAGTAGATCTATGGAAAACCACGAAGTTGTAAACATTTGCGCAACTTGGAAATAATTATACACTAGATAATATATTTTAACCTGACAACGAAACTTTGTGTTTTAGTGATATTAACCAGTTTTATCCAACGTTTCTTTTGATAAATGAATGTTTCAGATATTACTGCATTTATAAATTAACGTTTGTCCCAACATTAAAGGTTTGAGTTTTATTCGCTTTTTATGTTTGAACATATATGAAGGGCGGTACAATTATGGCTCAGTGAAGTCATGTATTATAACTTCACTACAAACAAATGTAGTTCGGCTACGTGCGGAAATTATCCTCAGGTAAGTATTAGAACGCAAGTAAAGTATTTCAGTTGAATCAAGAGATTATAATAAGCCTTTCTTAACGTTTCATGTTTATGACCTCTTCTATCACGTCACACAAATGGGGTGAAGAATTGCTCATTTTATTTTTATTACATGTCTACTTGACTTAGAACTATTGATCAACTATGTATAAGAATGTGTCAGTTTCAATGGGCGCGTGTCTGGATACTAACCTCTGTTTATTCTCTCATCGGCTTTAAACTGAAACAACCAATAGTTCTACTAATATATTGGTTGGTACTTCTCACTCACTTACCATCCATTTTGATTACTCAAAGTGTGGAAGTTAACCAAATTATTACTTAACAATGTACATTTGCAAAACACAGTTGATATTCGGGCTTATGAGTAATCTCAAGTTAATTCTTAGAGTTACAGAGACAAATAATCTGCCAAAAAATACAAAGTTGAATACTGATCATATTTTAGAATCAGAATTGAGGGGCTGATGGCCACGCATTTCGGCAAAAATCATACTGCTACTGACTGATCACATTTCAAAAATGCAATAAAACAGACAAACATGAGAGCTGCGTTCTGCAGACACATTTACTGTTCGAGTATTCGAGTAATCAACATTTGACACAATGAACCGCGTCCTTATCCTTGTGCACCTTTATTTACAAACTACAAGAATGAATACATGTGGGGTGTTATATGAACAAGAGTGTAAAATCAGCCTATGAATTTCACATATTTTCAAAGTAATTGGTGATTGACAGAAAACTGTTCTCCATGTTTCTCTATTTCAGCTATGGAAGTTAACCTTCAAACGATAAAACAGTTGTCTTTTTTCACCGCCTTACATCAGTCATACTTGTTACATATCTTGACAATCGCGTTAGCTATTGATTCCAAATGTATGTTGGTGATTCATATTCATGCTTATGAAGGCTGATTCACATGATAATTGGTGTGGTTGTATTATTACTTCCAAGTAGTGGTTTTCTTATTCAACTTTTACGTGCAACATGTTTGCCTATTTAAGCGTGCGAGTCAACTCTTGAATTATATTTTAAATGATATTGTCTTACTTCACTTTGTTTTGATGAAAGAAGCTGCACGTTGGATTGTGACATTCATAATTAGTTCACTTCCTCATCTAAACGTGGTCCAGTTAAAATGTTCGTTCGTACTGTTATATCGAGATATGTAGGGTTTTTAATCATAGCCACATTTCCCATTAGCGGGGGACTAGTAATAATAAGCCTTTATTATTTAGAATGATCCAGTTTATTACTGGTTTCGGTTTTTAGCACCAATGAGTAGAGTTTAGATAGAAGTGAAACGTTCGATCAGATGAATCTTAACGTTTGCCATGATGTACCAGTTTATCAAAAAATGTCGAAAAATGTATGAAGTAAACTGCGGAGTGATTAGCTAAGTAACTGATAAGCTGGTTGATTAACTGACTGATTGTATCATGCCTATCGTCATTCTATTGATCAATCAATTCACTTTCGTACGGCTTGTTATTAGTTAGATGATTGTGAACTGTGCTCACACAAACTTCACTCTCTTCTATTACCTACAAGCATTTCCTCGTTCATTCCAGCTTGTTTGGGAAAATACTACCGATGTTGGATGTGGTGTCACAAATTGCCCAAATTTCATAACTAAGCTCGTGATTGTCTGCAATTATGGTCCTGGGTGAGTAAACATCATGATCAGTTCGATTCATCTTGATGAATTTTAGTTAGATCTTTTGAATATAAGGCTTCTATATATCAGTTTTTGCAATTAACATGGTTTTAAATACTAATTATATCTAGGAATATTATTTTTTGTATGCTGTTCGGCAATAATGACTGATTAAGTCAACGTAGTCACATTTGAACAGCTTCAGCTGGAATTTCGTAACTGACTGACAAGTGCTAGAGTCAGAATTACCAATGATCATGAATAAAACTACTACACAAATCCGAATCCTGTAGGTACGATTTTTACTGTTGATGGGAATCAAATTAAGTCAGATGAACGTCAGAAAGAATTTTTCAGTTTGTCAATAATTTATCTGTTACATGATGAATATAACTTCGTTTAAATTTATTACTGTAATTCACTTTTACTCAACAATATCGTCAACAAAGGTTGGTTCGAATGAAGTTAATTTAAACACCCGGTGGTGGAACTGAAACACACTTGTAGATGAGTTAACTAACTTTCAATCTTTCTTACCTGATTTCAGAGGCGACGTATTTGGACAAAGGCCGTATAGGACTGTATAAGTTATCAATCGTAGAACAACTGATATATCATACCAATTTGGATCGTAAATGTCTTTTGGGATATTGGTGTTTGGTATTTCGCCTCAGTATTTCACTTTTGTTCATGTTTTTGGTGTCTTCATTTTTCTTAGTTGTTTACGCTCAACGACCAATTATATTTTACTTACAATACAACACATCAAAAACCATCAAGTATGAAGTATCAATAGTGAATCTCAACTTCAGCTTCACATTATTATATTCCGTGTGACAAATATCATTCTAAAACATATATTACTTATCTTTTCAAACAATTTATATTTAGACCTCTAAGGTATTCCATGCTAGATTATTTAGTGAATTAACCTCATCATACCTGTACACCAGCATGGATTATGTAACTGTTTTTAGAATATTTATTTAATTGATGATTCATAGTGATAGTTAAATTAATAATAATGTTCAGGTATGAAAGATCTGATCTTTGTAATGATTTGTTTCCACTCCATATTACGTTCAAAGTGAGTTCATTCTGTACACTTAATAAGTAAGAAGTGCAAATAAATCGCTTGTAACGTAGATCATTCTTAAATATATATGTGCTTGGATTAACTGTACATATATTATCTATAATAGAATATACATTATTCGTTTTATATGTAAACTGAATCACCTTTTATCGTTTGTCTACTACTCATGTGCACGTATAAAATATAAGTAGGTATTCAAAATACATTTCATGAACATTTTATGAACGTGTTTAGTCAACAGAAGGCATGTGAATTTCAAAACAATAAATATCTCATTAGTATCAATATCCTCCGATCATCGTGAAATTAACATATTGCTCCATCTTCAAGTAGGAAATTTCCACCTCACCAATTCTAACAAAACGCGATTGATACAGACTATTATATCCTAACGTAGAATAAATGAATGGTAGCTGCTAGGAATTATTTATAGACTATTATTACATATATTCCTATTGGATTACTATATTATATGGATATTCATATTCCTTTTATTATAAGCTTTTATTTGACCTATTAACTACTATTATACAATTTACTATTCTTAAGTTATCCTCAATCAATTAATCACAGACTCTCACATTTACAACTACTTTTAGCTTGATCTTGGATAATTGTTATTTTCTATTTTATGGTATAATGAGTTCTGATTTGCTTGTATATAAACTAAGTATGTCTGAAATACGTCATTCCTACAATGGAAGCTGATATTGATGTACTGGACTCAAACAGACAGGGTTAGGCAAGAAGAACCAATAAGGACTGACAATTAACTCTAGGCTACTTGTACTGGTTAACGCATCATTGGTTTGGGATAGTGTCATAGTCACACATGATAATTAACCGAATAAAAGTCATAACACAAACTGAGTATACACAAAAAGGAAGAAAAAGACTGAAATCTAGTCGAATAAATATATAATTCTTTCCATATCTCATTTGATGCAAAAAGTTTAATGATTGTAAACATGATTATTATGTTATTAAGTACAAATATGAGAAATCACTAAAAAAATTATTGTGTGAAGAACAAAGAACAAAAAAGACAATCATCACATTACTAAACAGATAAGCACAAAACAGAGATATAAAAATTAGACAAAAAGGTGATTTCTAGAAAAAAAGAAGTATATAAGTGAATAAAATACAAATCTATCTATCTATATCAAAAACCAGAAGAAAGAAAAAAGAGAAAAAGAAAACAGAGAAAAAAAAACAAAAATCAATTCTATCTACTTAATTTGGAGAAACAAACAACGACAACAACAACAACAACAACACGTTATACCATTGAATATTCCCTGTGTTTTCATTGATAAAACATTGGCGTTGAATATACATGTATATATATCTTGTTCAATTGACTGATTGTGTGTGTGTGTAAGTGATTCAATAAAATAGTTAAATCTGTTAGAATATTAACTGTTTAAATAATAATTGTATATTTCTAATGAACATTTTATTCTATGAAATGAAAAAATGTCGTTGCCATGATTCAATAATGATTGTTCCTCGTTCGGTACAAATAACAAATCAATTGACCAAGAAGAAAAAAAATCAATGTACAAATAACTCAATAGAAAGAGAATACAAAACGAAACAAATTACGTAATAGTAACAACAACAACAACAATATGTAATAGGCAAGATAAACAAAATAAATGAGTGTGAAGTAGAACAAAGAAATTAAACTAACTATTTATATAAATTAAATGAAAGAATGACAATATTGAACCCAAAAAAAATAGGATAAACATTGAAAAGAAAACATTATATAAGTTTGGGCTTTAAATCATATTATTATTATTAGGATTGCTTAAATTTTCGAATCCAATAGATGGTCGGTTATCATGTAAATTAGGCACAGTAAGATGCGTTGATTGTGATGACTAGGAATAGAGAGAGAGAGAGAGAAAGCAGATAGAACAGAAGTAAAAGGGTGAGATATTTTCATGTTTACAAGTGAATTTTAGGTGCTGACATTACATGCCTAAAGAAGTGAATGATAGTGTATAATGTTGAAGTAAAATTTTGTTGTGAATTGGTATCACTTATGTGAAGTAGTAGATAGTCGTTTTGTCTTAGTATGGGACTCCTCTGAAATGTGTGTGCACTCACAACCCTCTTCAGGATAGAACTTAGGATCCTCAAATCCTACGGTTAGCGTGTTACCATTTAGATCACTGAAGAGACATATAGTAGTCTACATTTCCAACTATTCTCGATGTAGCGTGGTAGGTAACTGTTTCACTGCTCACATCAGACACATCAGACGCCTTGCTACAACTATAGCTGATCACAAAGTCAATCATTACTGAACAAATGCTTAATGTTTAGTCAAAAGATTTGTAGGGAGGTTAACTGATAACAATTACTAGATAAATCCGATTTCAACTCATCTCTTAAAATCCCTCAGATAAATGTCCAATATATTTAATCCTATCTAAATTTGACAAACAATAGTCTGATGTTTTAGTTTGAAGCTCTCTAGCAGAATGTACTATTGTCCATGTGTTGTTGAGTTAGAAACAGATGATCAATCTTTGTAAACTAATGTACGCTAGCGATGTAATATGACCATTATTATCGAAAGGATAAATGAATAACGATACTTATCATAGTTTCGATTGATTACACATATCACAGTATAGATTTATCATAAAGTTTAATATCGTCAAACTAGAGCGGAACTAATAGCTATTCCCTTATTATTTGTTCTTTTGAAAAAAAAAAGAAAACTAGGAGTGATTACAATGAAACGTATGCGATGGAAAAAGGGATATCATTTAAGGGAAGTTTTTGCAATGTTCCATAAATTTTCTATTTACAATACTTAACTGTGAGCAAACATGTATTCAACAAAACTATTTTTACTCTCAGTAAAAAGACGAATACAGCAAAGAAATATTTCGTTTCAATCAGTTTTTCATTATAGCTTCATAGTAATGTGTATATCTTTAATAATATTAAAGAAATATACTCTTTGTCAGTAAAATCCAAGTCACTTTTTATAATAACTGACTTTATATACATATTTAAAACTCATAAATTAGTATTACACATACAGATAACTGTAATAATTCTGAATCTCTTTCTAATATGATAGGTTTAAATACAACCGTTCATTGATGAGTAATACCATTAGATGCAAGCTCAGTGGTCTAGAGGTTAAGCGTTGGCGAGATACGGAAGTTCATTGATTCGAGTCTCGAGTGCGGGATCGCTGATGAGCACTGTCAAGGAGTCCTATACCAGAATGAAACGGACGTCCAGTGCTTCTGGGCTTTCAATGGTGGTCTAACTTAGATTGACCCATGAATTCAGCCATAAAAAGAAATATGTTAGAATATAGGCTAATAATACACCGTCCAAAAATGAAAATACTTACCAGTGTAACAGGTGGTAGCCTTTCAAAACTCACATATTTATAAACAATCGATTGAGAACAAATTTCATTTCTATCAGTATTTCTTTCTTGATCGTTGTTTTCAATCACTTCATTATTAATATTACAATTACTAGATCGAAGCTTCTGATGTTGTTGTTTTAACATGAAAATTTTCTGAAAGTTTACATCTTTTGTAATCGCATTATTATATTGTTGATTGCCAACTTCTGCATTTAAAATAATTGCATTTGTAATATTGGTTTCATGAACTATTTGCTTTCTAACACGTTTAGGGACGTCCGGTACAGCTGCCATGATCACATTAGTTAGAATAGTCGCTATAGTCTATTATAATTAATTAATAATTATGGTCAGAAAGATTAATACTATATATATGCATTATATGTTAAACGAATAAAGATTTCTGGGTTTTATTAAAGCGATTTTCTTAAAAAACTTGATATTAGTCAAACAGTTATAAAGAATATAAAAGCTTTCTGTTGGGACTTTCAGCTCGCCAATCGGAATACGACTTATACAATTCTAGCACTCAGTCAGTCAGTCAGTCAGTCAGTAACAACGTAGAACTTCGTACGTACGTACATCAGTTCGAGTTGCCACACCACGTTAGCACAGAGATGCCGTAGTCCATTCAGATCCCGTAGTGGTAGAAGTAATAAGAGTATAAGCAGTTATCGGAAAGATTATTGTTTGGAGATGTTACTTAAAGAGTATAATACAGTGAAATAAACTTGGGAAGAGAAAAAAAGAGACAAGGGGGAATCAGGAGATCAAAATTTGAGAGAACACAAAGAGTGGATGCACCTGCGTCATTGCAAACGATTTTGAGCCATGTCATTCAAGGTCTCTAACCATCGGTTGCTATCATCTCGCGGTCCCCAACCAGGTAGTCTACACCTACCAACATGACTCAGTCCACTTGTCAGTGACTTCATAGACTTGTGCGATGTTTCGGTCTGACCACCCCTAGCTTTCTTCCAACCTACTCCTATACCACTGAACATCGCACGTCGAGGCAGTCGGTCGTTGGGCATACGTAATACGTGTCCCAGCCATCTCAACTGATGAAGTTTCACCACTTCAATTGATTTGCCATCCTTACCTAGTACCCGTTTCCGAACAAATGAGTTGCTTACTCGATGGTCCCAGGATATACGAGCAATATTTCGAAGACACCTATGATCAAATACTAGTAACCTACGAATATTCTCTACTCTTACCGGCCATGTTTCACTGCCATAAAGTAGGACGGGACAAACTGCTGCGCACTGTGCCAAACCAATGACGTATCGACCGGTATGAGCAACCTAATGTCCTTACTGGTCCTTTTCCTTCATAGCCAAGCCAATTGAGTCCAGAACACCAATAACAGCTTCAACTATACGATTCCTTTATTGCAAACACCTGGTTTATATTCAAAATGGACCACATCACATCATAAATTAGGAAATAACATTTGTACAACACCAAACGAAAAAGTGGCTATGAACGTAGAAGACTGTAATTAATAAACTCAGTCAGTTAAAACATAGGACCCGGCAAATAAATGCATCGGTCCAAGTTGCGACACCGCATTAGCACAACACGATGAACACCAAATTCATAGAAGTAGTCACTTCAATGGTAGTAATGTTCAAAAGAAAGATTGTGTATAAGGATATATAACAGGAAGAAAGAATTAGTTCATAGAAAGAAAGATATAAAGCAACTGTAATTTCACGGTTTAAGGGAAGAGGGAATGTATACACCTACACCACTGTGATCGATTCTGAGCCATATCACCAAGAGTCTCCAACCATTGGTTACGATAGTTATGCGGACCCCAACCAAGTAGTTTGCATTTACCAACATGGCTAAGACTAGAAGTTAGTGAATTCGAGGACTGATGCCACGTTTTAATTTGGCCGCCCCTAACTTTCTTCCAACCGTCTTCAACACTAGTCAGCATTGCGCGTCGTGGTAATCGGTGTTCAGGCATACGTGACACGTGGCCCAACCATCTCAGTCGATGAAGATTTACAACTTCATCAACTGATTTACCACCATTCCCTAATACCCCGAGTCTAACTTCACTATTACTTACCCGGTGGTCCAAGCAGATGCCAATAATATTTCTAAGACATCTGTGGTCAAATACTGGTAGCTTATCTATATCTTCTACTCTTAACGGCCACATTTCGCAGCCATAAAGTAGAACAGAACGAACTGCCGCGCAGTATACTTGTCCCTTAATTGATAGAAGGATACCTCGCCCTCACCATACGAGTCGTAAGTTGGCAAAAGTCAAACGAGCTGTCTGAATCCGTGCTGAGATTTCGTTAGATATCAACCCATTAAGGCTGATCAGAATCCCAAGTTAAGTTAAGTTGTCGACGCGTTCGACTACCTCACTCCCTATCCTTAATTCAGATGTTGATGCAGGCCAGTCCTGAGGCAAAAACGTGCATTTAGAGGGGAAGAAACGCATTCCAAACATCCTGGCTATTAATAAACTGGACATAACTTAAGAGCAGTAAATCATATAATAATAATTTATAGGTCAAAATGAAGCTTAGAAAAAGAGGAATATAGACATACATAATCTAGCTACTCAATAGTTATAATGTAAGAATATATGTATAGTATTAGTTCATAAATGGATCCCAACAGTTACCATCCATTAATCTCGTCGGGATATAAAACTTTCAATGATTGTTCGGTTTACACATTAGTCATTATATCTCATTATTGCATTAATATAAGAATGTGTTTGTAGTTATTGTAGTAAATTAACAAAATTATGTACTTGGATAATTCTACATCTATGGGTGTCCTATGATCCTTCATGAGGGGTAATAGGCGTAAGTAAGTTAATTATGATCTCTTCATAATAATTATTATGAATTACAAAAACAATAAACTAGCTATACACTTGGTAGAGCTGACAGTTATAAAAGTTAATTGTATTATGCAGTTCACTGTTGAACTTATTCACTAAACTGCCTGTTTTTATTTAGTCAATGGTTTTTTTCTTGACCAATTATCTAGTGACTGTGAATGATAACCAGAGATTCTTAATACTTTTTTGTTATATCCCAATAAGAATAATGAGTGGTAACTTTTGGGATTCGTTTATGGACCAATATTATGAGTATATTTTTGTCGTATAATTGTTATGTAACTAAACTGTTCATATTCATGTCGCTCTTATTATAAGCTTTAATTTGACCCATAGACTATTACTATACGATTTACCATTCTTGAGTTATGGTCTGTCTATTAATTACTATCTCCCCCATCCACAGCCACTTTTGGCCAAATATTGTACAAATGTTATTTTCTATTTTATGATACGTTGTGGTCTGTTTGATTAGTATATAAACCCCGTATGTTTGAAATAAAGGATTCATATTGAAGAAGCTGAGATTGGTGTTCTGGACTTAACTAGACAGTAAGCGAGACCAATAAGGACTCACTGGTTCGATCGGTAATTCGCTGCTCTCTGATTGGCGGCATCATTGCGTTATACAATAAACAGGGCACATAGGTTCACAAGTTATAATATTTTTAATCCATGAGATCTATTCGATCTTATGGAGTCCAATTAAATGATGAAAATACTATTTATAAGAGTCTATTTACCCACATTTAACCTTCTATCTCCAAAGTTTTACTAATGATAAGACTTCTGTTATCGTATTTTATTATTCTTACTACTATCAGTACACCTGTCTTCCTACTATCAATTTGTATTTTTACCTATTATGTGCAGAGACTTATTCTATTTCATTGTGATTATTGACCTAAATTGCCTTGATTGGTTTAACATTTTCGTATAAATATTCATGTATATTAGAGTAAAGCCTGATGACGATCTAATTGAATACAATTGTTCGCTTTTATGTATTGTTCTCATTTTCACAATGGGAATCTTTAATATTCTAAAATCGCATGGGGACCCTGTTGCATTTAAGACACTCAATGAGTTTCTGAAGTTTAATGCACGTCTCACAGAAATAAATAATAATGGTTTGCAAATTAAAAGAAAGCTCACACACAGGAAAATATAAAACAATAATAATTCACAAATCTTATAACTATACAGTGAAAAGATAAACATTATTTCTCCATAGAACAGTTCTGCAAGCTTATCCTTTGTCGAATCTTTTTTGATATAATAATAAAATTACCTAATTCACGTATTAAAGAATTAACTGGTCAGTAAGTGGCTGAGGAGATTGTTGAGTTTCATTGAGATCATGAATCAATCAATGTTAGGTTGTTTCGTGATCTCAATGGAACGTAAAAATATTCACAAGCCTATAGTGATAATCATCATGTAGTGACTAGTGACTAACTTCGACAGGTAATTCTTAGAGCTCTTCTCAGAAGCCGCGACCAGTGGAGTCCAACCATGTCTAGTGTATGGCAGTTACCTACCGAAGACAATAGAAAATGACCGCACAACATCGTGAATTGATTGCAGTCGAAAATTAACACTGTTGAATCCCGACTCAATGATCTGGAGGTTGAATGTTCGCACGAGACTAATGACCCTGGGTCTGAATCCCGCGTGTGAGATCGTGGATGAGCACTGTTGAGGAGTTCCATACTAGAGTGAAACGGCCGTTCGGTGCTTCAAGGTTTTCAATGGTGGTACAAATTTGGTCGATTCATGATCTCTATGAAATTAATTCATCGCTTTGTTATTTATTACTGTTATTTACATAATGTATTTGGCTTATACATATTTTTATCGATTAAGAAATATTATATGAATAATTTACAAATGAATTCTATCGAACAGTTGTACCGTGAGGGTAATATAATTATATAACAGAATCATTATTATAGGTGTTTAAACACGAGTGTCACTAGATATCATATGCCTAATAATTTTACTTAGATTAACTTTTTGATCCATATTAAAAAAAGGAATATGTACATTCAGTGGTCATTCGATGATGCAAATCACGAAGTACAGATTCATTTATTCAACTATGAGACTAAAATGAAGTCAGCTGGTGGTACTCAAATTTAAGCCTTGAATGTTCGGAAGTCGATGTCTCTAAGTCATTTCTTCAAAAACATGTACTGGTTCTAACGATGTTTAACATCGGTGATCAAATGATGTTGGGATATTCAGAAAAATATCCCAAAAACAATTATCCGGTTAAGTCTAATGCTACCCTTGAACGTTAATGGTGTCATTTTCCTATTGGTCGTTTCCCTACTAATCAATATTTATTTCGCGTGTCATTTCCCCATTGGTCAATATTATTTAACGTGTTATCTTTCTGTTGGTCAATATTTATAGTAATCCTAACTGTATAAATATGCATTTGTTTGTAAATCATTATTCGGCTCCTGACCCCATAAACAATTTTTCATCTACGGTTCGTGTTCTGATATATTGGAGATTGGGAACAGTATTGGGGTCGAACTGGGATATCTGAAGCTGGTCAATCGGTAGAAGTTAGAGTAGCCACCTCGCGATACACAATAATTTGGCGACGGAGATTCAGCAAAGAATTTGGTGATTAACCATGGATCCAGCCAAACTAGAAAAATTGTTCGAACAGCAGTTGAAGCTGATGGAGATGATTGCTCACACGCACATATCTTCTCGAGTTCCAACTACACCGACAATTCCTGAATCAGTTGATGGTATTACCAGTGGTATTTCAGAATTTCTTTATGATCCTGATGCCAACATTACATTTGATACCTGGTTCAGACGTTATGAAGACTTTTTCAAAGTTGACTTTGCTGACAGAGATGATTCGTGGAAGGTGCGTCTCCTGCTTCGTAAACTTGGTCCATCCGAGCTGGATAAGTATTGCAACTTTATTCTACCGCAGAACCCACGCGACCGTTCATTCGACGCCACTATTCAGTCCCTTAGCCAACTTTTTGGTGATCATCACTCACTCTTCAGTACTCGATATCGCTGCTTAAAACTGATCATGAATGAGTCCGATGACTTCCTGACCCACGTCGGCGTTGTTAACCGTGAGTGCGAACGATTCAAGCTCAGATCCCTCACTGAAGACCAATTCAAGTCCCTAATACTCATATGCAGTCTTCAGTCACCCAAATTCTCCGACATCAAAACTCGTTTGCTTAACCGCCTTGAACAAGATCCAACACTGACACTCAATGCGATCATAGACGAGTATCAGCGCATCATCAATCTGCAGCGTGACACCACTTTGGTTCAATCTGGTGGCCAGGGTGGTTCCGAAGTTCATGCTGTTCAGCACCAAAAAGAATCTTCGAGATCGACGACCTCGAGTCTTTCGAATGCCAGTGCTGTTTCTGTCTCTGATCACTCTAAACCGGCTCAGAAGAAGCCCCCCTCTCCATGTTGGCATTGTGGAGCCTGGCATTATGTGAAGTTTTGTCCATTCAAACAGCATGTGTGCGATCGCTGTCAGAAAGTTGGTCACAAAAGCGGCTTTTGCAAATCCTATCGATCCAATAACCATCGAAATGCAAAGACGCAACGTCGTTTTCACAAAAAGCCGATTACCTCATCAAGGAGTTTAGCAGCAGTCTTCCATACTCATGCCGCGACTCGACGCAAATTTCTGACCATCTCAATCAATGGTCAGCCAGTTCGTTTGCAGTTGGACACTGCATCAGATATCACCATTCTGTCGAAAAAGACTTGGCGAACCTTGGGTCAACCTCCCATCAAACCATCCTCTCAGACAGCCGTCAGTGCCTGTGGGGGTCATCTCCGCCTTCATGGTGAACTCCGTTGCTGCATTTCATTCAGAGGTACAACCTTCGATGGGACATGCTACATCACCAATTCCCCGCTCAATCTTTTAGGTTTAGATTGGTTCGAAGAACTTGGTCTCGCTGATCTTCCTATTAACGCTATCTGCAATCAAGTCCAAACTACTGCATCGACACAACAGCATGCTGAAGACCTTCGAAAAAGATTTATTGAACTATTTCAGCCTGGTCTTGGACTTTGTACCACAACTGAAGCTGTTTTAAGACTGCAGCCAGAAGCTACGCCAGTTTTTCGCCCAAAGCGTCCAGTCCCATACGCATCTTTACCTCTGGTTGACGCTGAACTTCAACGTTTAGAAACTGAGGGTGTTCTGGTACCTGTTTCTTATTCATCTTGGGCTGCACCAATTGTGGTTGTAAAAAAATCTAATGGTTCCATACGCATCTGTGCAGACTTTTCCACAGGACTCAACGCGGCTCTACAACAGCATCACTATCCGCTGCCGATCCCAGATGACTTAGTTACTATTTTAAATGGTGGTACCTATTTTGCTAAGCTGGATCTGGCAGATGCTTACCTTCAAATTCCAGTCGCTCTAGAATCCAGAGAGTTGTTGACAATCAACACTCACCGAGGACTTTTTCAGTATACCCGGTTACCCTTTGGTATCAAAACTGCTCCAGCGATGTTCCAGCAGATCATGGACACTATTCTAGCAGATGTTCCTGGTGTTGCTACGTACCTTGACGATGTCCTCATTGTCGGCACAACTGCTGATGAATTGAATACCAGAACTCACTTAGTTCTGCAACGCCTCCAGGATAATGGTTTTCGCCTTCGCCCAGAAAAATGCCATTTCTTCTTACGTTTCGTTAAGTACCTGGGGTTTATCTTTGATGCTTCCGGACGACATCCTGATCCTCAAAATACTTACGCAATCCAACAAATGCCTGCTCCCACTGATGTCTCCTCACTGCGATCATTTTTGGGAATGATTAGCTACTATTCAGCATTTCTTCCATCACTGCATGACGTATGATATCCACTGAATCGTCTGCTAGAAAAGAATGCTACTTGAAATTGGTCACCGCAATGTGAGTTAGCCTTTTCAAAACTTAAAGCCATGCTAAGTTCCAATCTTCTGCTAACCCACTACAATCTGAAACTACCCATTGTGGTTGCTGCTGACGCTTCAACACATGGACTGGGTGCCGTACTCTCAAATGTCTTTCCCGATGGGTCAGAGAAAGCGGTGATGCATGCTTCGAGAACACTAACACCTGCTGAGAAACGCTACGGCCAGATAGAGAAGGAAGCGTTAGCCCTAATTTTTGCTGTCCGGCGATTCCACAAATTAATTTACGGACGCCGTTTCACCTTGCTCACAGACCACAAGCCCTTGTTATCAATCTTTGGATCAAAGAAAGGCATTCCTGCCCATTCTGCCAATCGTCTTCAACGTTGGGCGTTGGCGTTATTGGGGTACGACTTCGACATCCAGTATCGACGTTCCGAAGATTTTGGTCAAGCGGATGCACTGTCCAGACTTATCAGTAACCATTCTACTACTGATGAGGACACACTCATAGCCATAGTATCAACCGAAGAGGATTCCGGTGCTACAGTATTAGCGAATGCCATTCGAGCAATGCCTGTTACCGCTGAAGATGTTCGGGAAGCTACCAGAGAGGACCCGATTATCCAAAAAGCGATCACCTATGTTCAGAGTAGATGGCCAGTTAAGCAGCTGAGTGGTGATATGCAACAGTTAGCGAATCGTCGCAGTGCTCTCTGTATTGTTAACGATTGTCTGATGTTCGGTGATCGCGTAGTAATTCCAACAACCCTACGTTCCAAGATCCTACACCAATTCCACTCTGGACACCCAGGGATAAACCGTATGAAATCCATCGCTCGCAGTTATGCATATTGGCCGAATATGGACAAGCAGATTGTCGACTTCGTCAAAAGATGCTCGCATTGTCAAAAAGCTGCGAAAAATCCTCCTAGGTTGCCTCCAGTACCCTGGCCAAAGTCAGAAAAACCCTGGTCGCGAGTGCATATTGACTTCATCGGACCCCTAGATGGTACCACATATCTGATACTGGTTGACTCCTACTCCAAATGGCCGGAGATATTGCCAATTGCGCCACCATCTACAACTCGAACCATCAAACTCCTTAATCGGATCTTCGCTCAGCATGGTCTTCCAGAAACAATAGTAACAGACAATGGTTCGCAATTCACATCTAGCCAATTTTGCCTGCAAAATTCGATCAACCATGTCCGTTCTCCGCCATATCACCCGCAATCTAATGGACAAGCTGAAAGGTTCGTTGACACGTTTAAGCGAGCTATGCTTAAATCACGGGAGGAGGGGACCACAGAAGATATCATAGAACGATTCCTAGTTGCGTACCGGACGACCCCGCATGACTTATTGCCAAACTCCAAATCCCCTGCTGAGATGCTTATGGGGCGAAAGCTACGGTCAGTTCATTTTGCGATGAAACCTAAGCAAGTGGCGCAACAAAACCCGCAGATGAAGAATACTCGAATTCCCTACGATGTTGGTACCAAAGTGTATGCGCGAGACTATAGACACGGATGTGATAGATGGGTAGGGGGTGAAATCACAAAGAAACACGGGAACGTCATGTATGATGTCAAAGCGAACCAAGAAATCTGGACCAGGCACCACAATCAAGTCAGGCCAAGGGAAGCGAAGGAGAAAGAAGCAATTACAAAAAGCGTTCCACTCGACCTGCTGTTGGACACGTTTCAACTTCCGCCAATACCTCCAACAGAGACGACTAAGTCATCTACTCAAGTAGAACATCCTTCTGCTTCTGTGTGGTTGCCTCGGAGGTCGGATCGCAAAAGAAGACACCCAAAGAAACTTCAAGTAAATCCTCGATTACGTCGCTATTAACTTTTCCAAGGGGAGGTGTTGGGATATTCAGAAAAATATCCCAAAAACAATTATCCGGTTAAGTCTAATGCTACCCTTGAACGTTAATGGTGTCATTTTCCTATTGGTCGTTTCCCTACTAATCAATATTTATTTCGCGTGTCATTTCCCCATTGGTCAATATTATTTAACGTGTTATCTTTCTGTTGGTCAATATTTATAGTAATCCTAACTGTATAAATATGCATTTGTTTGTAAATCATTATTCGGCTCCTGACCCCATAAACAATTTTCCATCTACGGTTCGTGTTCTGATATATTGGAGATTGGGAACAGTATTGGGGTCGAACTGGGATATCTGAAGCTGGTCAATCGGTAGAAGTTAGAGTAGCCACCTCGCGATACACAATAAATGAGAACCGGTATATTCAAAGCCGTATGATCACCGACTAACTCTATACAGTACACATCCAAGGTTTTAACTTAAATCAGATACATTCACAGTCAAAATCAACGTAAAAATCGAAAATGTAATTAGAAATATAGAAGTGTATACAAAATATAAACTGCAATAACCTAAATTAAATGAATATAAAAAGAAGTGAATTTCATTTAAGAAAAGAAAATGTTTAACTTACTTCAAAAGCAAAAACAAATATGAATTTAGCTGCCAACACATGATAATAAACAGAAGTGAATACATATGGTTCTGAAGACCAAGGTGGTGAACGATAAGAATCATATCTTGTGTAAAACAACAAAAAAAAACACACAAATACACAGTAGTATTTAAGCAGAAATTTTTTATCATGAAAGAGAAAAACTTACTTTCATCAATAATAAATTTTATTAATGACTAAAGGTTAAATACAAAGAATGTATTCCTTTTGAATAGATTTAGACTGATGTTAATATCACTATTAATTATGAAAAAAGTTTGTGAGCTTGCCAAAATATGATCATTTTTTTTTCTTAAATAATTTCCTTTTAAACTGATTACTTTCTTATACTGACTAATGACCACATTGAAACTTGGCTTGGTAGAATTCGATCTGCACTAAGAAGGATCTGATACACATGACATTGATCACTACTCAGTGATCAACTAATTGTAAATACATTTCAGTTCTATAGGAGATCATTCGCTGCCCTCACAGCGCAGTGGTAACGTCTCTGACTGTCAGGAAGCTTCATTTCCTTCAAGGTTACAGGTACACCTTGCTGACGAGTGCCAAATAGCACGAAACCTAGGTTTAAACCTAGATTTAAAGTTTTAAAACACTTGCTATACATCGAAAGAAGAACAAAGTAATCGTAATTGATAAGACAATTTCTTGTATCGACGAGCCTATACACACTATCTCAGCGCCAATGTTTATTTAAGCTAAATAGTACGAAATACGTAATGACAAATCAGTCAATCGGATTAATCTGAAATTATTACAAGAGTTAAAATGTTGATTGAGGAAATGATAATCCAAGTAACAAGTGGAGTTATACAATACTTGAATCTCAATAAACTAAATATAAGTAGTGAACATGCTATGGAATTTATGACGCGCAATTTCTTAAACTAATACTGATACACAAAATTCATTCAGTCAGTCAGCTACAACGTAGGACCAGGCACATATGTGCACAAAATTCCTCTATACACAATCAATAAATTATTTTCAAGCAAGTCATTCGACTTTGTTTGGCATTAGACACCTTAGATTAGTATATACTGCAACCAGAGGTATGAAACCAAACAGAAACACATTCGAATGACTGAACAACCCTATTTTTAATATGTATACCCACCTTAAAGAATGATACACATACATACATCACTCAAATTTAATAATACCTGCAATAAGTTTCATTAGTTGGAACATCAAAACGAGTTGTAGACATATAGGAGAGAGTGAAATTCACAAAACCTTTCATAGTACCATCTGGACTATAAGTATAACGGTATACACATCGGTCAATAAACTGTGTAGTAAATGCAATAATACAAGCCTATATTGAAATAAGCAAATAAAATAGAAATTAAAAAATACATGATTAATTTAGTAATCTTTATCAATCAGTAGACAGTCACATTGTAACATGTTTAACAGACTTATTCAAAGAAGATAAAGGAGCAAGGTGTAAATGATAACTTGTCTATCCAGTCACACAAAATTTCATTTCATCCTTAGGAGTTTTTAAAATTATAATGAGCAGTTAAATGCTTACATTCATTTTGTATCGTTCGCTTCAATCTTCCCTCTAATATTTGGGGCTGCAATTGATCAGTTTCTTATGGACATATGTGCATCTTGTGCGAATTACCTTGATATTACCTCAAGTTATAAGTATTATAAGCAGAGATGGATAGTGGCTAGTAGTGAAATCTAGGTCAAATCCCAAATAGGATGAAACGTGTGTCCTGGATCTCCACTGCTAGCAACCAACCATCTTTGCTTATAAGTTAATTACTTAGTTACATTTCACTTAACAATAAGTTAGACCCTTTACAAACTATTATGATAACATAATCGAAATAATAATATTTACTGGAAAGTTATTTACATGAAACTTAAAAGAAAAAGTTGTCTGCGTTTAGGAATAGTTACTGGTGTGTAATGACCCATTTCTAGATGTAATGTTTGTTTGACGGAATGAGACATTTTAATTCGGAATGTTTTGTGTTCACTTATTAATTAGTAAACGAAAATGAGTCGCCTCAAATTTTCTGTCAATACTTTAGCAACCATCTGTCTATCTGTAGATGAGACAAAGGTGGTTTCCATGAAATTTCAAGAATATATTACAGGAGTCAAAAGTATCACAGTTTTACCAATGTTGTCATAGAAGGATGCTATTATATTCAAGCGAAAACTAAAGGAATAGTAACTTCCAGGACTAATTAGTCGACTATTATTAAAAATATATTCTTATTATATAATTATTAGTGACTAGGCTACCATCATATATATATATATATATATTCCTATTAAAATGAGCTTTAGACTAACCTACTAACCACTATTTTACGATTTACCATTCTTAATTTATCCCCAATCTATTACTTACGGTCTCTCCTACTTACAACCACTTTCTGGATTGATCATGTGGTCGGGTATGCCCGTATATAAACTATGTATGCTTGAAATATAATATTCGTATAGTGGAGGCTGATTACTATGTTCTGGACTAAACACGGGTGGGGCAGGGAGAGAAGTTGCCGAATCGAATACTGATAAGAGCTTAGTGTTGAATCAACGTTATTAGTGCTGAACGGGATACGATTGGTGTATTTTCACGTGGTACTAATAAGGAGACATTATTTATGACAAATAACCATCGTTTCGTGGTGGAGTTGATATTACAGACACATGGATTCATTGAAAAGCAAGAGATCTTCAAAATTCATATTATCCAGTCACGTTTACCTTGTATTAACATTTGGTCTATAAGCATGTAATTTTATTGCATGAAAAAAATATTCTCTTGGGGAAATGTTACATCTTGTAACAGTTATTCATTCGAAGGCTTACATCAATAACTCCGTTTTGTGACCAGTTATCACATGGTCATTGAGTGCTACCGATCGATTAACACTACATTTATCAAAATATATCCGAGCGTATTTACTAACAAATGATCCAATTCCAATCCAGTAATCAACTGTATCTAAAACTCCAACTGGGGAGTTGTGATGGACTAACAAATTTCAGTCCTATACAACTTTGCGCATACTACAGCATCGAATTGAAAAGTTACTATCTCTCCGCTTTTCCTATTCAGTCCCTGCATCGGCAACCAATGCTCGATTTGGAAGATGCTGAGATGATATTTGTAGGATATATACAAGCCAGTGATACTAAATAGTGACCTCAAATACACACTGTCGGATCACAGTATGAGAATTTGTGTGATAAAAGCGAAGAGAAACGAAAGTGATAAGTATGAAAAGAAAGACTTACATTAGTTCGAATAGCAATGCTTGCGAGAACAGTAATGATCGACAACCATATACCTGAACGAAAAATAAAAGACGATAATTTAAAATGCATCTATAAATCTGGCATAAAATGTTAATTTAATTACTAACTTATATGTTTATTAATGTTCATAAAGTATAGTAAATATATAAATGATGATTATTTATTTATCAGTGAAACAATATGAACGTTTTAAAACTAACACTAAATGGTATAATGATAGTGTTTAGTGATGGTCAATAGTAAAATCTCGCACATATATTTCATTCTATCTGTAAATTAGTAACTGGATAAGTTGCTATCATGGAACTTTTGGTGTACAGCTAACCTGTTATGTTAGTATTAAAAGTCTTCATTTAATGTATGTTGATTCTAACGCTATGTGATTATGTACTGTATTTATATAACGGAACAAATGAAGATTGTTTATTTTGATATTAATTCTCAATACAAAAGGTTTTATGAAGTCTTCTTTCAATTGTGGCTATTCTAGTCGGTTCATCATAATGATTAGTAAGTATTTACTAAACTTCAATTTTTTTAAGATAATGAAGTTAATCAATCTGGCATTTTAGTAGAATGTTATGATACTATTAATTTATTCATAAGTAATATATAGATATTGACACATTATATGACCATCGATTTTAAAAGTGATATACCTACATACATTATAAGAGGAGAATTTCCAACTCACTCAACAGAACGTTCTCCGCAGAAATTTTGTGATTAGTGTTCTCTAGCTAACCACTGTTCAACAACTATCGCTTTTGAACAATTCTATGTGGATTTTTCAATTTACCTGTTCATGCGGAGCCAGGCATCTAGGTCGTTCGGTGAGTAGTTTATCCAAAAGAATTCAAGAACATTACCTGGTTTGGCTAAAAAGAGGCGGAAATGCCTCAATAAGAAGCTTTATAATCGAAAAGCTTGTTAACACAGATTACTCACCCAAAACGGACTCTGCATTTAAAGTCTTTTACAAGTTAAGTAGAAAATTATCAAAGGCAGTTAGATCCTACCTTTTTAGCATGGCCGAAGCACTTGTTATACCATTTAGAAAAATCAGAATTCTGAGTACGAAGAAAACTCAGACAGCCTCTTCTTCTACCTCGATCTTATTCTCTTATGATTTCTATTATTCTCTTAACCGACTTTTTCCTTCCTCTCTTCTTCTCCATAAACATTTTACCTCCAGATGATTTGTTTGTGTTTCTAAATCTCCATATTTTATCTTATCACACTAAGCTTTCCCTTCCTAATTATAATCTGTTTAATTGTCTTCATGACAAATATTCAAGTTCTCCCCAACAACGTCATTATTAGTTTCCTTAATAAAAATAACGTTTTTATGCATTTATTTACGTTACCTCACTGTTATCATGTTTAGCAAAATTTTATTATACCTATTATTACAATTATTATCATTTTGAAAATTAAGTATATAGTTACGATTGCACAACTATGAAAATACATCCAACGAAAAGAGAACTCTTCACTGAATCAAACTTTCTTATTTTATGTCTTAAAGGGTATATTCTATTTACAAATGCATTTGTCTGATTTGCGACACAATGAACCAATAGTGTGTGATAAAATTGTGAAAAAGAAAGGTCAAAAAGTATTGAATAGAGCAATAAGAAACAACGATATCACTTACCAATTGTTTGAACTCTTTCAAGAACTGGACGACGATATTGATTCACCAATTTTTTAGCATCACCACGAATCTCAAACAGATTGTTTAATAAACCAAATAATGGTGCAAGTGGAAACGCAGGGACAAACATAGTGATAAATCCATATTGAATCACTAGAAAAAGTTGATCATAAAAATACTTGTGAAAAAATGAAAAAAAGTCTGTGGAGTAAATGAGAAGACACCAAACTTTAGCCAAATAAGTCTGTTATGCTGAACATATTTCCACTCCAAAAGACTGATCACTAGACGTGGAATTTTTTATCACGACATATGCATGTTAAGTATAGCCTACTCTGAGAAATCAACTGTCTTGGTAGGACTGACAAGTGAGGCAGCTTGGTTACGATATGTCTCACCTTGTTAATTTTGTCATCCACTCTATTAAATATAATCATTCTGGGTAAGATTTTATCCTTCAAATTGAATTCGGAAAACGAGAAGATCTGGTCAATAGGTTAAGATGCACTAGGTTAGAAAGTCATTTATTGGATCGTATAGTATTACTGTAAAGTTATATGTTAGGCATTCTAAGAAAATCTAGCCGACTGAGATTACTAGTTCAATAAAATAAATAAGCTTAATATTGAGTATTTTATAATCCCATAAATTGTCTGTAGAAGTCAATTTATGAATTCCATCGTTATTCATTGTCACATATAGAAACAAAGTTTAAATAAAACTTAGATTTATCGTTATTATTTAATGAACACTTACAATTTAGTGCATTGTAAAATTAGCCAGAAAATATTAAGGTCAGTGGTTAAGACTATTTATAGTGTTTTCAATTACCGTGTAATACATCATTTATTTATTTAAAAACGTAAACATTGGTACAAGGAGACACCAAACATATATGTGGCACACTTCTTCATTCGATTTGTGTAAGGGCTGGCTGGGAGACCAAAACCGAAAAAGGTGGCTTTCTTAAGGGGCCACTTCCCGACCCTTTAACCTAGAGGTCTAATCCACAAGGCAATGGAGCAACGTTATGCGATGTAGTCCGATGATAGCCGGTGACAAACAATAGGTTCATACGCCATTTGTTTCCTCAGGATACTGGAGCTCATATGCACCACTGATTTGGAATCAGGGTTTTCCAACTCCCGTAGGTGTGTTATACATGACACTATCAGTCGGTTTCCATCTATTTGATATATAGTCTCAGATATAATAACACAAATAATTAAATAATTAATGTTGCCTTCAATCTACCACCAAAATAATATCAAGTAGAGAAAATAAATTTTAAAAAAAAGAAAACGGAATCACTTACTCATTTCTAAGTATTCATTAAATAATGGTCTAGATCCAGGATCTAACATATTAAAATCAGCACGACATAGAATATTTCGTCCACGCAACGAACGATATTTTGCTGGTAAAAGAGAAGTAGTCACTGAATTTTGTTCATTAAAATTTATACTGTTCTTATCATTATGATTAGTATGATTAGATGAACTTCTCATTGAACGAAATTTAAAAAATAATTTCCATAGAATACTAAATGGAATAAATGAAAGTTAGGCAAGAAATGAATGGTAAACCAAAAAAAATTATTCAATAAAGTATGATGTAATAAATTAAAAAAGTGCAGAAAAAAAATGATTATATACACAAAATGTCAACATGTGATAATGTAATGGTGAACGTAGAAGCCTGCTTGAATATACAAGTCACCTGTTCCTGTCATCTAGATATTTCAACAACTAATCTGTTTCTACGTTTCTTTTAACACATCATTACGTCTATTAGCAGAGTAACTTATTCAGGTGATTTTAAGAAAAATTTATAACCTTTTACTTTACAACGTTCGAAAAACGCACAATCAAAGACATCGTGATGGCTGGCAATATACAATGAAAACAATGGATATTATTCAGATGTCTATACCTGAACAACTAATATCTAACTGGCGATCAATCAATATTTATCGTCAGGACCGATCAAGAAATAAGGAAACCTATTAAAATACTTTTTGCTGAGAATTCATTATTGTACCAAAAATATAACACTGGATAAAGCCATTAATAATAATAATAATAATAATAATAATAATAATAATAATAATAAATATTTGTAAATTTCAACAGTTAACATTCAGGACTGAAAATGATTAGTCTTTATTGACAAATGTGTATTCTATGCGGTACATCCAGCTGATGAATCTCAAATAGAACGAAACATACGTCCTAGATTCCACTACTAATCATATACCATAATATCATTAATTAATTCTTACAAAACAGAAATCTCAAAAAGAATCTCATAGAATTTTCGTGTTGTTTTCTATGTTTAACAGATTACAAATAACTTGTTGGGATAGCCCAATCACTGAAAAAAATACTACTCAAATTGATTAAACATTCCTATTCTATCAGATTTAGAAAATCTTTCTACTGTTACCTCACTATTTTAAACTTCACTTGTCTGTTAAAAATCAAAGTCATGATATGTGTTTAAATCAGAAAACATTACACCAGACAAGATTCATAGTAAAAATTTATCACGTGGATCTAAGTGTTAAATACAGTGGGTTTTTATATATAAAATTGAAAAGCAACTGCAAACAAGAGAAAAATGAACAAAAAGTATATACTTACGACTCCATATAGGACATATACTTATTAATAATGGATAGTAATTAGTTTAATGAGTTTGTGCAAATAGTTACACTTGTAAAGAACATCACAGACTGACCTTAGTGACATAATGATAGGAATTCGGAGAACATGGTTCCCATCTTCAATAGGGTCAGAGATTCATACTACTGAGGAGTCCCATACTAAGACGAAACGCCTATTCATTGTTTCCTGGTTTTCAGTGATTGTCTAAATACAGCTGTTTAGTGATATCAACCATAAAAATGAATAGAAAATTGTTTGAACAACTTACGGCATTAAAGATTCTTGAATGAAACTAAATATCTGTTTACCAACCATAATTATAACTAGTTGTATGAATAATTCGAATAGACAGTCACCTTGGTCACACTGTTTAAAAAGAAGACAAATGATAATAGAATTGCAGGTACATAACAAAAAATAAGCACAGACAAAAACATATTCACGAAGAAATTATGTTATATACAATTCACGTTTTATTAAAATAGGAGAAATCCAGAATTCACTTGATTAGTTAGAGACAATTCAGAATAAACTGTGACTCTATTGAAAACTTACAAACGATGAACAGCATATAAAATATTAAAAAAACTCTTGGAGTCTGAGATGTCTTAGCACACATTGTTAAGTGATGTGAGTGAGAACATATTGGTTCATTTATTGAACTATTAATGGTGGTATTTATGCCACATAATTAACCAAAGTCTATCGATCAATGTAAAAAATGTGAGATATTTTCAGTCAGTGCTTTCGTTATTTAAAGGAAACAGTGAAGTTTAGCTAAGCTGAACATGAAAGAGATTTTCAAGGATAAGTTACAACATAATATCGTGAGGTGAATAGAATTTCGCAGTGAATACCATGGGCTGACTTTAGCCAGATAACTACTGAAAACAAGAAAACATTGGACAGGCGCATCGACCTGGGATGCCACTTCTCAGAAGTTTTCATCCATGATCTAATCAGGGATTAAATGTAGGACCTTCAGGCCTCGCAGCGAGTCCTTAACTTTCACATCGCTGTTTTACCTCCCTAACTTCAGTGAATTTTTGGTATTGCATCACTATTATTAATAACTGTCATTCGCCCAACATGGTTGAACTCCATAAGATCTCAAGAGTTACCGTTCAAATCTGGTCAATAAAGAGCATGTGTCTATTATTATCATTATTATTATAGTACAGAGTTGTGGGGATTGCCGAATTTGTAATTCGTACCATAAATTCAGGATTGTCAAGCTTATTAAGATCTGTAGAATAGAATTGAATAGATTATTTACCTAGTCAGTTTTAGCAGTTTTCGGTTAGAGTCAACGTAAATGGTATAGATTATTCATCTTATAGATATCAACGAATATGTACATGGACAACTATGTAATGGAACATAAATATGAAACATGAAACTTCTGCTCAAATTCTTTCAATGAATTTGAAAGAAACAAGTAACTGTGTTGAAATCATGCGTTAATCTAAGTGTTATGAACTCTTATCACAACACAGCTACTTCTAATGCTTAATATTACTCGGATAGTTTACTTCATTCAACAATCCCCCAAATCAGAACGAGGTTGAACAGGAACTTAATTATATTACAAATAAATAGGGTTGAATGGAAGTAGGAATCAAAATATGGATAACATTAGTATATTTATAATTTTACACAATAAAATTCTAGTCCTCTCCAAGTATCTGCATGCGCTGATTAGCTAAGAAATAGCGAATCTGAGTGCCACGACATAATCCTGCACGGAGCATAATTTAATTCATTCTATATCCCAGTAACACTAAGCTAGATCACTGTTAAAATCTAAAATTCTTAAGCGTCAATGATTGATTTGTAATAACTCATCGTTAAGACATAATTTAAATATGTTTGTAATCATAAATTAACTTCAGGGCAAGTACTCAAAGAAAAGAATCAGGAATTCATCATTTATGAAACAATGAAAAAAATCAAATTTATTAGGATTATGTCAATACGTTCCTGGACTATGATAATATTTCGTAACCCTAACTTCAATACATTAAACGAGAATATTTCTATCCTATTCTTTGATGCCGGGTTAACTAGAGGAAATAATTATCGGTTTAGTAATTGATGCCATTTTATGATAACCTTACAATATCACTTCGAAAAGTTAGTTGATGACATGTCAACTGTAGTGATTAAAATTCATGAATTGAGTATATCACTAAATAAAGATTATGGTAAAAATGTATTGAGAGTCCATGAGCAAAGTTCAAACCGAATAATTTGATTTAACAAAAATTCATCTTAATCGACATTTAGTAGTATAAAGATGTGGAGATTGTTGAGTTTCATTGAAATCACAGACCAATCTAAGCCAGACAACCGCTGGGAACCTGTAAGCGCTTAATGACTGTTCCATTCTGCTTAAGCCACCAAAAACCAGGGATCAAGCTCAAGACCTCGAGTATCGAGCACGACCGGTTAACCACAGAGCGGGGATACGATGGTGTACAATCCTAATTTTAATCAAGTGACGATCGGTCAGTGGTCTCAATAAAATTAATCAATACTGATTCGCTTTTTAGTATACTGTATTTGGGAACTGCACATCGCTAACAATCCAAACAATCTGATAACAATGATTCAAGACATTATTATGAGAAATGAAGGCCAGCATAGATGAACTCGAACACAAAGAAGGCAAATATGATAAGAAAAATCAATGCAAATGTCATTGGTCTGGATATTAAATTCGAATCCATATAAGAGTGATTAGTTTTATGACAATAAAAAGTCATTTCTGGATAGATTACTGAGTTGAATTTTACAACGACTGAGGCTTCAATGAGTTTAATTATCAGCCTAAACAATTAACATACAAAACTGTAGGGGCTGAGTTAAGATGGTGGTTGGAGGTAGTCAACAAGAAACCATGGACCCGGGTTTCGCGCCATTCGGTACTCGTCTGCAAAGTGTACTTGTAATCTTGAGGGTACTGATGCTCCCTGGTGGATTCGATCCCGTGTCACCTGGCTTCACAGTCAGAGATGTCAGGGAGCATCAGTTTCCCCAAGATTATAGGCACACCTTACTGACGAGTGCCAAATAGCACGAAACCCGAGTCCAGGGTTCCTTGTTGACTACCTCCAACCACCATCTTATTCCAACATAGTGCACGCAATGTCTAGTCACCTAAACTAGTGGCCACAACGCAACTTAGTCGATAGCATTCGATCTGCACTAAGAAGGACCTGACACACATGACAATGATCACCATCCAGTGACCAATCAATTGTGAAGGCTGAGTTAAGACAAATCTCATAATATGTGTGTTTGGAAATTGTGAGATGTGGAAGTTCTTTGGTTAGTCAAAATGTGAGTAGTGTAAAGGATCGGTATATATATATATATATATATATATATATATATATATATATCACAGGTTAGATGAACATTAGACAGGAATTTGTTGTAATATTACACATTTTGTATCTAAAGTTTTTTAGACGCAACCAAATATGGACAGGTATTTAAGAAGGTTATTCTTATTCATTATTCATATGAAAATCTAAGATTTTAATTAAAATAATTTATAATGGTAATCAGAGATAACGACCGTTCATTATCTATCTCTTTTCTTCTTGTTTCGTCACACCTACAATAGTTATGTGAAAATATGGTCTCTTTGAACCTTAAAATCAGAAGTATTAACTTATATTTCATACAACAAAATTTAAATAAGCAACATAATCTGAGGTAAAAACGTACGTGAAAAATTTAAAAATACTTTAACTTAACAACAAATTATATGAATCAATAAATAACATCAATATCAAAGACGTTAACAATGCTAAAATGGTTTATAACTCTTGTATTACAGATTTGAACTCCTATCTGCACAGGATTCAGTTTGATCAACCAAGTAGTTATACTAGACGTCACATGTACACACAATCGAGAATAAATATTTGTACTTGGTAAAGAGTTACATTATTCACAAATCTATATTACATTGTGATTTTTGGGATTAGTCAACGAACTAAACAAAAGCTATATTCAAGAAAGATAGTAGAGAATGAAGGATCATAAAATTATATTACTGCAAATGTGTAGTTAACTCCGCCTGTAGCCCTTCTAGAATTACTGCCGGTCTCAAGCCCGGGTAAAGGAGAAGGGTTGGGTATGGGGTTTGCGTTCCCATCCTGTAGAAAACTAACTGCCCAAAAAAACGATAACCAGAAAAAAAATAACTCAAACCATTTTAACTCTGCCCTGAGAGTTAGAAGGTCTTCATTTAGAAGAATTATGACGCTTCATGGTGAAAGCCGTATTCCTTCGGAAGCCACGAGGCCAATGCCCCTCCTAACAACCAGAGCAACAATTTTTATAGGTACATGGAACGTCCGAACAATGTAGGAGACCGGAAAGACAAGTCAAACAGCGACGGAAATGAGGAGATACAATTTGGCAATAATGCGAATCAGCGAAACCCATTGGACACAAGTTGGACAGAAAAGGCTAGCTACGAGAGATGCTGTTATACTCCGGCCACGAAGAGGAAAATGCTTCACACACTCAGGGAGTTGCTCTAATGCTGTCCAAAGTAGCACGAAATGCACTTGTAGGATGGGAATCTCACGGATCCAGAATCATCAAAGCATCATTCAAAACAAAGAAGGAGGGGATCACAACTAATATTATCTGATTTTATGCATCCATCAATGGTAGAAACGACGACATTAAAGATCAATTCTACGAGCGGCTGCAGTCAATCATAGAGAAGTGCCTAAGAAAGGACCTCACCATTCTAATGGGAGATCTAAATGCCAAAGTCGGAATAGACAACACGGGATACGAAGAAATCATGGAACAACATGAACTGGGTGAGAGAAACGAAAATTGAGAAAGATTTGCAAATCTGTGTGCATTCAACAAATTGGTCATAGGGGGGCACAATATTTCAACACAAGCGTATACGCAAGGTTACATGGATCTCACAGGACCGCAATACAGCAAATGTGAAAACTACAGAGGCATCACACTGCTGTCAATACCAAGGAAAGTCTTTAATAGAGTGTTGCTGAACCGGATGAAAGATGCAGTAGACGCCCAACTTCCAGATCAAGAAGCTGAATTCCGTAAAGATCGGTCGTGCGACACTATGGATCATCGTCGAGCAATCAGTTCAGTGGAACTCGTCACTGTACATTAACTTCACTGATTATGAAAAGGCATTTGACAGTGTAGATAAAGAGAACGTTATGAAAACTTCTTCGACAAGACGGAATTCCTGAGAAGATTGTCAATATTATTCGGAACTCATATGATGGACTACAGTGCAAGGTCGTGTACGAAGGACAGCTGACAGATGCATTCCAAGTAAGAACCGAAGTCAGACAAGGCTGTTTACTCTCTCCCTTCCTCTTTCCACTGGTGGTCGACTGGATTATAAGGACCTCCACATCTGAAGGAAAACACGGAATACAATGGACAGCTCAGAATCAATTAGACGATTTGGACTTCGCAGATGATCGAACCCTCCTATCGCATACACACGAACAAATGCAGATAAAGACAGCCAGTGTAGCAGCAGTCTCTGCAACAGTAGGCCTCAGCATACACAAAGGGAAAACCAAGGTCCTCAAATTCAAAACGGAGAACAGCAATCCAATCACTCTTGATGGCGAAACTCTGGAAAATGTAGAGTCCTTCACATACCTGGGAAGCATCATCGATGAACAAGGTGGCTCAGATGAAGAAGTAAATGCAAGGATTGGCAAAACAAGGGTCGCATTCCTACAGCTGAAGAACATATGGAACTCAAAACAACTTTCAACCAATATCAAAGTCAGAATCTTCAATACGAACGTCAAAGCAGTTCTACTGTATGGAGCTGAAACTTGGAGAACTACGAAACCATCATCAAGAAGGTACAAGTATTTATGAATAGCTGTCTTCGCAAGATACTCAACATACATTGGCCGGATACCATCAGTAACAGCCTTTTGTGGGAGAGGACAAACCATCTTTCAGCTGAAGAAGAAATTAGGAAAAAATGATGGAAATGGATAGGACATATATTACGATAATCATCAAACTGCATCATGAGACAAGCCCTAACTTGGAATCCTGAAGGCAAGCGGAAAAGAGGAAGGCCAAAGAACACATTACATCAGGAAATAGAAGCAGATATGAAAAAGATGATTTTTATTTATTTATTTATTTTAACACATAGATATTGGCACAAGGAAGCACCGAATACATATGCACCACACAAATCTCATTCGATATGCGTGAGGGCTGTGATACTGCCCGGGTGCCCAAACCGAAGCAGGTGGTTTCCTTAGGGGGCCACTCCCCGAGCCTTCGACCTGAAGGTCTGATCCACAAGGCAGTGGAGCATCGTAAGGAGATGCAGTCCCATGGAAGCCGGTGACCAACGATTGGTTCATACGCCATTTGTTCCCGCAGGATACTGGAGCCCATGTGCACGATTGGTTTGAAATCCGGTTAAAGAGCCGGACATTCGCTTTTCGTCCTCTCAATTTCGTAAACAACACCCCCGCCACGAGAAGGCAGTGAGTAGGACTTCCCTAGCAGAGGCTATATACGCGTGGCCATGTGAGAGCACTTCGAGAGGAAGAGCGGACTCTCCCCACTCTCGGCCGTACCAGGGCATTTGGGGGCTGAAAAAGATGAATAACAACTGAAACGAGCTGGAAAGGATTGTCCAGGACAGGGTTGGATGAAGAATGCTGGTGAGTGTCCTATGCTCTTTCACGAGGAGTAACAGGCGTTAGTAAGTAAGTAAAAATGTGTAGTTATTGGGATCATTTATCGAGAAGTCCGGCATGATCAAATGCTGAATCATCTAATCAGGTGTGAATAACCGAGTGTACAAGTGATCAGTAAAATATGTTATAATTGTAGTTAAGGTTCGATCTAATGAGTTATTCATTATTGACAGGTAGTTCAGAAATCCCCTGGATATTAAACAAAAAAGGTGTAAATTGTTGTGTTCAATCTCTAGTTTGTATATTTAAACCAGTAAACTCTATGAACAAAGATCGATGATGGCTAGTATCGAAATCCAGAATGCGCGTTTCATCCTATTCGGGACTCGTCAGTTAAATATATCTGCATACCAGTGTTGGTATATATCTATATATATATGGCATCAACTTCAGAGGTGTTTAATATAAATCTCTCCGATTACTGACTTCTAGTCAATCAGTTATTACCAACGTTGAGTCTGACATAAGTATGTTGATATGATAGAAAGAACAGCCAAAATTCGATTGATTTACTCATTACGAGTTTTGTTCAAAATCACTTCCATTTTGATTCAATGTGATGATTATTCAGTGTAGTATTTGTTTTGTTTTCTCGTATGATATTTTATTCTGTATAATATACGATATTCTTGTATTCAATTGACATGAACTATGCTCAGTATGTGACTTGTTATATATGTGATTTCATCTTAATTATTAATCAAAATGGGTTTACAATCAATATATAAATGAGTGTGCTTTCGACTAGGGTCGTCGTTGTTGTGTTTTGGGGTTAATAAACCTTCACTTATACCAGTCTTTGTATTTTTACTTTCGCGTCGTAGGAATTGCGGAGGTCCCTCGTTCCGAGTATAAGTGATGAGCGTTTCCGACACAACAATCAGCGACGACCAGACATGAAACGTAGCGTTCAAAACAACAAGACATATCATATATATTAGCCCAAATTGCAGTGGCAATGAAAAAGATTAAAGATTGGATATATAAATCGTGAAAAAAAACAGGATAAAAAATATGCACGAAAGAATAATGGAAATGGAAGGAAAACTGAGATGTCAAAGACAGCATAGTTCACCTATAATAAATAATTTAATTTGCAAAAATATACATATAATTGTATAAATGGAAAATAATATGTAATGCTTACACCAGTTGACTGAATTAATATATGATCACTACCAGGAACAGCTGAAGTCGTACCTTGTATAAATGCAATATAAAATATTGACGAATAATAATTGACAAATTGTAATAGGTATAATTTTAGCGTTAAACTATTATCATATTCCACTTGTGTACGATGATGCTCAACATCAGTCAATTTAATGGCCATACGATCATAAATCTGAAAAATTAAAAATGGAATGAATTATTAAAATCAATAAAAACTATCAGTATAGGTAATTCACGGAGTTCTAGTGAGGAGTCATGACTAGCGGAGTTCAACCATATCGGTTGTGAGGTAGTTAACCACCGCAGACAATGAGAAATGATTGAAGATAGACTCTCGCTCAGTTGTGTAGAGGTTAAGCGTTCGCACATGAGACCGAAGGTGTTGGGTTCAGTAACCGCGCACGGGATCGCGGATATGCACTGAAGAGGACCGTGCTGAAAGGAAACGGCCGTCCAGTGCTCCCAGGTTTCCAATGGTGGTCTAGCATTGATTAACTCATGATCTCAATGTAAAATAAAATTAGATGTTGTTTGATAAAATATATCATTACTAATCAAAGCTGGGAAACAAATTTCAAAACAATTTGTGTTAATATTTGTAGATGTCTTAAAACTAACAGTAGCTGGAGTATGTTTTTATCTCTGTTCAAAAGAAATATGGTAGCTGGAAGTAATCAACGCATTCGACCAATGTTTTATGATAGTAGGCACTCATCAACAAGGCATACCTGCAATTTTACTCTTAGTTAGGCACATCAGCTTTCTCAAGATTGCAGCTACACCTTACTGACAGTTGCCAAATAGCAAGTCCAGTCGAATTTCCTACTGACTACCAACAACCAGCTAATTTCAAAAAATACTCTTTGTAGACAATTTTAGATAATTTAAATCTACAATAGAAAAATAACTGAGTGATTATTGTCAATTCGTCTTACAGCACAGTAAAGTGTTCAGTAATGTGATACAGACCGCGTTATAGTACGGATCGAAATTTGGAGCAGAAAACTAACTACTGCTAACATCGATCCTACTGTTCGAAATATTGAGCTCCAATTTATCCGCTCACTCTTAATAAAAAGGTGATGAGTCGAAATTGATCTAAAATAAAAAATCTACCACCATAAACTTTATAAGAACGTTACTGAAAAGAAACGTTTTCGACAATAAATATTCCACGAATTATTGGATTGTCACTTTTTGTGTATTTATCAATGTTGTGTGTTGTGGTTTGATTTAATTTTAATGTACCAATCCCAGTAGCATACCAAATCCACTAAGCAAATGAAAAGATTACAGTAGGTAACTTCAATTGCCAAAACGAATTTCGATATGCTCCTATCATGAGTATATACATAGATATGCTTGATCTTTTAACTTGGATGAAACAAGACGATTTGAACTTCGAAGATGACCTAGCTCTTTTATCCCATACATAGCAACAAATGCAGGTGAAGAAACCCTGTATAGCAGTGGGATCTGCAACAGTTGGCCTCAGTAAACGCAGAGAAAGGAGAGAGATCCTCAACCAAGTCACATATGATGGAGCTCTCAAAGAGGTGGACACTTTCACGAACATAGGAGGGTCTGATTCAGATGTAAAGGTAAGGAGTTGAAAAGCAAGGGCAGTATTTATACAGTTGAAAAACATATGAGACTCAAAATAGCTGTCAAAGTCAAAATCTTCAATACGAACGTCAAAGCAGTTCCATTGTACGAAGCTGAAACTTCGAGAACTCCTACAACCATCATCAATAAACAATTGTCTACGCAAGATGCTGATTATCCACAAACTCTCATATCATACTTTTCCAACATGTACAAATTTTATGATAAATGAATACAATCAGTGATTTAATTAAACGTACTAGTTTTAAAAAGAATATTGTCACTAAATTAACTAAAGATCCAGTCACAGTAGCAATCATACCAGAGGTACTTTGTACCATTGGATTTTGATGACGATACAAAATTGCTTTGATCACTAATTTGTACAAAACCACACCGACAAGAAAAGCTAATGTGAGCATCACCTGTGAAACAGAAAGTATGCATATACATAAATAATAAAAGGTGAGATAATAGCATGAATTTATAATCTTTAACTGAACAAAATTATCAACTTTTTACCACTTCAAAAAGACCACAAAAAATTTTTTTATGAAAGAAAACAAGTAATATATATCTGAATCATTAGTGAAAATAACTTTAAAGAAAAAGAATTATTAAGAATATTAGGTCGATACCCTACAATCATTCAAGGTGATGAATAAGCAGCCAAACTCCATTCTTCTGAATTTTGCTGAAGCAGTTGCTATCAGGCGCCAAAAGCCTGATTTATGTGCTCAAAAGGAGATGGTTATTAATCTTTCCTTGCCTTGGTGATTAATATTCCCTCGTTATATCTTAATAAATTTTTTTTCTCTTTAAACTCTTTCTTGCATTTATTACACCATTGAGTTTTATTCCAACTATCTTCCAAATTATTAATCTTATTTTATCAACTGAACTCTACTCATTTTATTCCTATATCAATGTTTACTTGTTTCTAACCGTTTGAACTGTTATCACAATGTTCTTTCATCACATAAGGTATATATTTACAATATTTAGTCTATTCAATTTATTTACACCCTTTCTATACTGTATGAATATGTCTTTAATATAACTTCCAATCAAACTCTTTTATGTAAGTCATTTAAACTCATTATGTAATTATGATTTTAAATATCACAGGTTGTAAGCAGCTGACGAGAACCAACGAAATAAAAATGAATTCATGCTATTCTGCTAGAATGTTTGTTCTTGCTCTTTTCAAAATGATAAAGGGAACTATGTGTATGAAAAGTCATAACTAACGTAGAATTTAGTGTATATGCCAAGGTTGAATCTGATAGTTTCAAATAAATTGAGTATTGAGTAAAAATTTGATAATAAATCTATATATTTTATGTCATACTTAAATGAGTAAAAAATTGTATTTCTGACGTTTCGTAACTTAATATAGACCATTTCTTCAAAGTTCATCAATTACCTATTTCGGTTAGGAGCACGGAAACGTCAAAAATATAATTTTCTACTCATTGAAGTATATATATATACTATCAGTCTTGAATGTTCCTTGATAATAATTTAGAAGAACAAGGAGTAAAAAAATCAATATGTAAATACATTTTGACATGAGAAAAACAAGAAAAACATTGACGAGAAAAAAATAGTTTAATCAATTTAGTGAAAGTTTTATAATGAATTACGAGATAATGAGAAGCCCTGCAGTATTGGTCAAGATATTTTTATTATTACTAAAAATAACAAAAGGAAACAAGAAAAAACTTGACCAAAATACTTTTATTGGTAAATTGAATATGAATATGAAAATAGTTAGATAGAAGTGTATAAAATTTTATTTTATTTCAATGAAATTCATGTATGAATATTTCATGCATGAATAACAACATAATTATCAGTATGCGGCTGAGGAGATTATTAAGCTTTTGGTTGAAATCATGAACCGGTTGATGTTGTACGATTACTCAGTAGTGTGTAAGCCATAATAGGACGAAACGGCCATCCCATGATTCCAGGTTTTCAATGGTGCTCTAACATCAATCAATTCATGATTTCAATAAAATCTTAATACTTTCCACAACCCCATACTGATAATTACCATGTGCTGACTAATGACTAGCTTCGTGAGGAAATTCTTGGAGTTCAATTGAGAAGCCGTGACCAGTGGAGACAGGTATCTACCTCAGTACAATTGAAGACGGTCACGCAATTTCGTGGACTGGTTGAAGTTATACATTGACACCGTTAGGCTCAGTGTTCAAGGTGTCCTGGATTCGAGTCCCATGTGTGGGGTCGCGGATGCGCCCTGCTGAGGAGCCACATGCTAAAACGAAATGGCCGTCCAGTACTCCCAGGTTTCAATGGTATTTCAACATTGATCGGTTCACGATTTCAATGAAATCTGATTGAAACGATTGAATTAACACGATCTAATCGATCGTTTGATTTCTATTTATACGACATATAAGACTTCGGAGGTGGCAAACAGTATATGTATTAAAAAAACATAATAACAACTAATTACGGAGATTAGAATTGGAACATAAAATCCCAAACTCATATATTGGAACAAACGTATCGCCTATTTAAGCTTCATCGTAAACAGTTTTGACCATTTTAATTATTAAATAAAATGTTAAATTCGTTAACCACATACTAGAAGCACTTATCTATAAACACGAATATTTTTCACTACTTTCAACAGGTAATAACAAAATATAAGCAAAGAGAACAGGATATTGTCAGTCTTGAAGAAGAGTTTCACATTTCGATGGTAGAAAGTCAGTATCATGTATATGGACACTAATCGTTGAATGAACTAGTGTGATTTAGGTATTTTATGTAATTCCAAACATGGTAATATCCACATAACCACTGTTCTTTTATGGATAAGAAACCTAATTCATCATGAGTTTCCTTCAAAACTGTTTCCAGCATGCTGTAGCCTCTAAAATTTCTTGCAGATGCGTGTTCTATTAATTCGGTTAATATTTACCAGCTACTATGGGCTAGTACTCAATATGTTCGACTTTTTAAGTGAAATGCAAACTTACACTATAATATTTGTGACAGTTCAACAACAAATACATAATGTATCTTCAATGTACTGTAACAAATCATAACTAGAACTTATAGTAAAACTGTTATCTAACAGTTATGTTGAAACCACTGTTAGATATTTTCATCATTTCAAGATTTGGAAAGTGATTGAAAAAAAAACAAGACAACATAAAAAGAGAACTTACAGTTAACAAAACAGTAGAGAAACTGAGAAAGATAATTGGTACTCTACGTCGCCAAAATGGAATAAATGGTTCTACATACTATTTAAAAAAAATAGAAAACAAAATTTACACAGTATTCCCCACAAATTGATCATAAATAAAATGTTATTGAAAACGAGGAAGCACTTACTAAACAACTATTTCGTCTTAGCAAGATGTCTCTCAGGAGTACATACTAATGAACTCAATAGGCGGAGAGTACCTAAGAAATTCAGATCTTTAGATAAATACCTAATTATTAAAACCACTGGATCAGCACCCAATAGTATATATGCTCAACTACATACTCAAGTAATTTGTTATAAAAATGTTTTACCCCTTGAAAATTATACTCTTTTGAAGGGCTTCACACAATAGTCGTTGAATTAAATTCCTGAACACCTAGTAATAATTTGCAGGTAATTAATAACATAGTAAAACATTTAAGAACCAGAGATTTTATTGGTTGTAGTTAAGTTTTAACTTTATGTATATTAATAAAAAACATGAATACTTACAAATTAATCACTATAAAATAATCAATAAATACAATTCACTATGTGTGTATATCATTTTTTTTCTCTAATTGGAGTATACTTAGAAACAACTAAAAAGGAAAACCCAGGTTCGGTGAAGAATCTTGGTTGGTAGCATATGTTCTACAAAAAAGTAACAGGCATCAATAAGTAAGAAAGTAATGTGTCATTTTCTCTCTACTCAAAGTGTATACAATGCATCTTTCATGCTTGTAATCACAATCAGTAAAATAAATATGTTTTAGTACATTGAATGAAAACTGATAATTGTTTAAAAGTTCAAAATAAAACAGAGTAAACTCAAACTGGAGAGGATTAAACAGCATTAGAAAAAAAATAATTATAATAATAAATTTATCAGTCAGTCAGTAACAACGTAGAACTTCGTACGTACGTACATCAGTTCCAGTCGCCATACCACATTAGCACAGAGATGTAGTGGTCGACTCAAATCCTTTAGAGCTAGATGTAGTAAAATTATAAAGTGTAACCAGAAAAATTAGGGTTTAAAGATGTTATTCAAGGAGTACAATCCAGTGAAATAAATTTGGAAAGAGAGGGACATGAAGAATTAAGAAGATTAAAATTTGGGAGAACGCAAAGAGTTGATGCACCTGCGCCATTGCAAACGATTTTAAGTCATGTCATTCAGGGTCTCTAACCATCGGTTGCTATCATTTCGCGGTCCCCAAACAGGTAGTCTACACCTACCAACATGACTCAGATAACTTGTCAGTGACTTCATAGACTTGTGCGATGTTTCGGTCTGACCACCCCTAGCTTTCTTCCAATCTACTCCTATACCACTGAACATCGCGCATCGAGGCAGTAGGTCGTTGGGCATACGTAACACATGTCCCAGTCATCTCAACTGATGAAGTTTCACCACTTCATCAATCGATTTGCCATCCTTACCTAGTACCCGATTCCTAATAACTGCATTGCTTACTCGATGGTACCAGGATATACAAGCAATATTTCGAAGTCACCTATGATCAAATACTAGTAACCTACGAATATCCTCTACTCTTACCGGTCATGTTTCACTTCTATAAAGTAGGACGGAACGAACTTCTGCCCAGTAAACACGTCCTTTGGTTGATAGACGGATATCTCGCCTACACCATAAATGACGCAAGTTGGTAAAAGCTAGTCGAGCCTTCTGTATCCGTGCTGAGATTTCGTCACACACCAGACCACAAGGGCTGACGAGACTTCCAAGATAAGTGAAGCGATCGACACGCTCAATTACTTCACTCCCTATCATTAGTTCGGGTGTCAATGCAACCCAATCCTGTAGCAACATTTTGCATTTCGAGGGAGAGAATCGCATCCCGAACATGCTTGAATTGTTGCTTAAAGTGGTCAAAAGACAATAAATTTATACTTACTCCAGTTAAACGATTCACTTTACGAGGACACATTTTACTAAGTAATGCCATAAATTCTGGTCTCGGCGGTTGATCCATTGGTTCCAGTGAGTATACATTCCAACGATAAGCCAATGAGACTTGCCTACGTTTCCACATTTCGAAAAATATTACAGCTATTTCATAAAAATGTAGAAATGACAGAAAGATAAGAAAATATGATTCATTCTACCATTTATTAAGTAGCAATAATAATATAAGTAATGAAGTAAAACTAAATATTCCCACTTAAATAAATTTGAGTATTTGTCGAAATAGATTGACTAAGCTATTGACGTGTCGAAGCTACAGATATAGAAAGAGAAAGACATATCATTTCACTATTTCATGAGCGAGATATAGGTAAAACTTACATAAATGACTAGCCACTGTCTATCACTAAGTATAATGGCATTTGTTGTTCCAATTTCATGCCAACAAATGCCCTGGTACAACCGAGAGTGAGGAGAGTTAGATCTCCCTCTCGAAATACTCTCACAGAACCACGTGTATACAACCACTACAACGGAAGTCCTACTCACTAGCTCCTCGTTTTTGCGCTGTTTTTTTTATTAGAAAATTGAGAGGACGAAAAACGAATATTTGGCGCCTTGACCGGTTTGGTGGATATAGAGGATTCACCTAGGGGAGTTGGAAAATCCTCATTCTAAACCAACTGTGCACATGGGTCTCAGGATCCCAAGAAAACAAATAACGTATGAACCAATGATTGTTCACTGGTTACCATCATGAAACTACATCTCCTTACGTTGCTCCACTGTCTTGTGGATTAGGTGTCTATGTTAAAGGGTGGGTTAGTGGCTTCGTAAGAAAACCACGTGCTTCGGTTTGAGCTCCCGATCATTTTAACAACCCTCACAGTAATCAAATAGTCTGTGAGGCGCTTATATATTAGGTGCCCCTTGTACCAATGTTTACGAGTTTAAATAAATAAATAAAAGAATGTACAGAAAATGTACGAATCCATCTATTCAACGACAGAGGGCAAGAATTGAGTAGAGAAATTCAGATAGGGTGATCGATGGGTATGATACAGAAGCAAATGAATACCAGTTAACCATGATGAGGAATGATCCTAATGATACAGAAACCCTTTACTTACACCTCTATATATTTATTTACAACATCGGTTCTACTCTTTTAGAAAAAACTCTATATGTTTGTAAGCCCCCAAATGCCCTGGTACGGCCAAGAGTGGGGATAGTCCGCTCTCCCTCTCGAAATACTCTCACATGGCCACGCGTATATAGCCTCTGCTAGGGAACCCTACTCACTGCCTTCTCGTGGCAGGGATGTTGTTTACGAAAATGAGAGGACGAAAAGCGAATGTCCGGTGCTTTAAACGGATTCCAAACCAATCGTGCACATGGGCTCCAGTATCCTGCGGGAACAAATGGCGAATAAATCAATTGTTGGTCACCGGCTTCCATGGGACTGCATCTCCTTACGATGCTCCACTGCCTTGTGGATCAAACCTTCAGGTCGAAGGCTCGGGGTGTGGCCCCCTAAGAAAACCGCCTGCTTCGGTTTGGGCACCCGAGCAGTATCACAGCCTTCACACACATATCGAATGAGATTTGTGTGGCGCATATGTATTTGGTACCTCTTTGTACCATTATCTATGTGTTGAAATAAATAATAAATAAATAAAAATATGTTTCTAAAGTATATACAGTAAGCAAAATAGCTTCTTCGCCAAACATCTTTATCCGTCTCCAGTTTTAGAAATAGTTTTCCACAGGGTATAACAATTCTAAGAAATTGAAAGGCTCAGAATTGTGCTAAATACTTGAAGGTAGTTGATAAGTAACTTTGTTTGATTTTGATTCAATAGCTAGTTGGTATTAGTCAGTAAAGCGTTCAAGAAATTATTAAGAGAATTAGTGTCCTTGTTCAATCAGAAAACCGGTCACTACTCAGCTTCATAGTATGAAACCTTACCACTGAGCTATTCGAGCTGTAAATGGCCTCCTGAAAAACTGAGATATTTACAATTAAGTGACCACCGAGTAGTGACCGATGTCATGTTTGTCAGGTGCATTAGTGCTGATCGATCAAGAAATTCAGAAATGTATTAATTACCTAGACGACAAATATTCCAGACTGTTGTTCATATAGGAAATAAAACAAAAATGAGTTATGTTTTATTACACGTAAGTATAAAATTCTTGAAAACGTTATGAAGAGAACCGACATACCCCACAAAGACATAACCACAGCAAATAAAACAGTCCCTTCATGATCCACTAATCGCATTAACTTGGTACGTAAACAAGATCTTTCCAGAGTCCAAAATTTGCATTTAGATGATTTACATAATGGACACATATATATGTTGTGACCGAGATCACATACTTCATGGCTTGAAAACAATATCGATATTAACAAAAAAAATAAGCTGAGTTGTAGTTAGCATACAATAAAAAAGAGTAGTGTCTTGAATAATAAAATGAATCAATGAAAATATTATATATGAATTAATTAAAGATAATAATTCGGATGTGCTTAATGAACATACGTGAATGGAGTATAGGGGAGAGGTGCTTGAAATCTGATAATAGAAGTCTTCTTTCAGTCAATTTATGTAACTCATCAACAAGATACATTTTAATTTACTCAGCTTTGAAGTATACCAACTATGGGATGGCTATAGTAGTGAAGTTTAAAAATTGTAATATACTGAATAAACTTTGAACAATTTCACCAGTAAGTCACAGATTCTTTAACTTAAAATCACCATTGTGAGTTATAGTATCCATATGAGATGAAAGCTTGATTCCCATGATTGAAAAAAAACAACAAATATTTAACGACCAAGAAATCATTTTTGTTTTACTGAAAACTGTATACGTTAAAATAGGTAAATAGAATTTGCTGAGCTCTTCAATATACAAAGACATTCGTAAATTCATATTATCGAAATCAATTATTGAGTTAGACTTCATTTAATAGCCATAATAAATGTTTTATAATTCGAGGTGTATTTGTTTAGGTTTTAGTGTTTAGAAAAATAGACATTTCAAATATTGATAAGATTAAAACATTGGTCAAATCTATTTTAGTCCGAGAATTATAGTATACTACGTAAAAAAACCATCTGAAAACGACAACTAACTTTTTGTAAATGTATAACATTTCAGAAGGGGTTTATGGAGATTTTAGAAATTTTCACAGATTGGAATCATGAGTCAGTTGAAGCTAGACCATCATTGAAAACCTGGAAGCACTGGACGGCCGTATCGTCCTAGTATGGGACTCCTCAGCAGTGCGCATCCACGATCCCGCACCCCGCGGGATTCGAACCCAGGACCTACTAACTTCGCCCGCGAGCACTTAACCATTAGACCACTGAGCCGGCATCCAACGGAGTTAATGTCTAACTTCAACATTTCACTTAAATTTTTTCAAGTAAATAGTCAAAAGTCAGAATTATTGAATATAGATAAATTTACATATTAAACGATTATTCAACCATGTTTAATATGTTATATATTTATGTCTAATGTGTGAAATTGAGTCGTCTAATGTGAAATATATTCAATTCGTAATTGAAAACAAAACAAATGACTATATCTAGGTGATAAGCTATAGTTGGGGTTAAATTAATCATTCTAGTTGATAGCCATATATTAAACCTATTAGGACACATAGATTGCCAATATATATAACAACTAACTGGCGGTCAATCAATATTTATCGTCAGGACCGATCAAGAAATAAGAAAATGAAACCTATTGAAATACTTTTTGCTGAGAATTCATTATTGTACCAAAAATATAACACTGGATAAAGCCATTGATAATAATGATAATAATCTCAGACTATTATGAGTTGAATAAAAGGTACAATCACTGATAGCTAATTATGGTCCAACAAATTAATTTTTTCTGTAATTACAATACACAGTACTTCGATATATATAAACATGCACAGACGTCTATTTACGTGAAAATATCTAAAACCAAGTTATTGATTAATCTGCAGATAACATATGCACTATTTCATTGATTACTTTTCATATTGTAATTCTTTGAAAAAAATTACTTCCAAACAAGTTGGTGATTTTTAATTGGTGAAAAGAAGTTTCTGATAAAGAGAAAATGAATATTTGATAGCTTTATCCTATGATTTGTTCGATAATTAATTTTATTTATTTAAAATCATAAACATTGGTACAAGGAGGCACCAAATATATAAGCGCCTCGCAGACCATTTGATTACTGTGAGGGTTGTTAAAATAATCGGGAGCTCAAACCGAAGCACATGGTTTTCTTATGAAGCCACTAACCCACCCTTTAACATAGACACCTAATCCACAAGACAGTGGAGCAACGCAAGGAGATGTAGTCTCATGATGGTAACCAGTGAACAACCATTGATTCATACGCTATTTGTTTTCTTGGTATCCTGAGACCCATGTGCACAATTGGTTTGGAATGAGGATTTTCCAACTCCCCTAGGTGAATCCTCCATATCCACCAAACCGGTCAAGGCGCCAAATATTCGTTTTTCGTCCTCTCAATTTTGTAATAAAAAAAACACCGCAAAACGAGGAGCTAGTGAGTAGGACTTCCGTTGCAGTGGTTGTATACACGTGGTTCTGTGAGAGTATTTCGAGAGGGACAGCTAACTCTCCTCACTCTCGGTTGTACCAGGGCATTTGAGGGCTGATTTGTTCAATAAACGAGTTATTTTCAGGTGTTAGTGTATTTGGCTTCGAACCAAATTCTATGTACAACAATATGTGATATTATTCGGATATGCAAACAGAAATAATGAGAGCTGGACTCGAACCTGATACCTAATGACTGAAAGCCGAACCTCTTAACCAATGCGCTTTTGTTTCATCTCACTAGGTGTCGAGAGTCCTAGTAAAGATTGTTCTTAAAGACAAATTCATAACTTATGTTTTTCGATTCTCTCATCATTGACTTACAATTTGTAATTGACAAAAAAGAGTTATCAGACAGTAGTCAACAATCATTTAAGTAATCGAGGGAAGTGATAAATGCATTAAATGAACTAGTAAGTTACAGGTTTGGATCCACCTCTGCCTAATTCACTTTCGGAAGTTTAGTGAATTAGTTGTTAGTTAACACAAACGATTTCAAAAAAAGGTGAACACATGAACATATATTCAGTACATAAGTCATTATTTATATTGATTATATTTTCAAATAGTAGTGTTGACACACTAGTTCACTGAAAGATAGATTATATTAGATAAAAAAAATAGTAAACAACAATCCGTTTCATTCAAGTTTAAACAACCATGATCAGTAAACCGGAAAAAGGATAAACCTATCAAAAGTGAGAATGATACCAAAAGGTATCATGATTCGGCTGGACATTGTGTGTTAAAACCAAGTTTATTGAAAATAATCTGGCTAGATATTCTTGTCGGTGAATAAAATTCACAGAATAAAAACAAGGGTTTCTTTTCGACAAATTCACAATAAACACCATATCAACAAACAATAAATAAACATTTTGATAATACATGGATATATATATAAATCCAAACTATGGCAGTTAAACTATTATCTTGTGAAAATGTATTAAAAACAACAATCTACAATTTATACAACTTACATAATCGAGTCGGATTTTAAATCCATTAAACCGAATAGAAAAACAATAATTCCCAATATTGCAATTGGTAAAAGCCAAGCTGTGTAGAAACCAAGCCAAGCAAAATAAAAAGCCACAGCTTCACCGAAATAATATCTAATTTAAATTATAAGATGGAAAAAAGCGTTTAAATTACTATGTGAAATATAAATCTAGTTTTAGGACAACGGTACTTGTGGTGATTGTACAATTGTAATGGTTTAAGTCACGAACAGATCTTAGCTAAGCCACCACTTAGAATATGGAAGCACTCATCGGCAGTTTTGTCTCAGTACGAGATTCCTCATCAATGCCCATCCATAAACCTGTACCCAGGAATCGAACCCAAGGCCATCAATCTCGTGCGTTAACACTGAGCGAGGATCCACTAGTGTACTTGTATAACTAGTCAATTTACGACGCTATCCAACCTTTATAAATTACTTGAAGTGGATAACTTGCCCAATGTGATTGAATTCCATTGTTCACGGCTTCTCACTAGAATTCCAGGATTCTCATCTTGTCACCAGTGAGTACAATATTATCAGTATAGGTAGATTTGTGAATAGTGTAGAATTTTCATTCTGATTCATTAGATAATCTTATCTTCACTATCATCAAAAACTTGCAATCGATTGGAGCTAGACATTTGTTCCATTGCATGCTGGCTCAATGGTTTAGGGAACAAGCTTTCACTCGCGAGATTGAGTGTCTTCGGTCCAATTCCTGGGTACAGGTTTATGGATGAGCACTGATGAGGTATCTCATACTGGGATAGAACGACTGATCAGTGCCTCCAGCTTCGCAATGGTGATTAATCTAAAGTGTGTTCGCTATTTTAGTTATAATCAGTCTATTATTCTTATAACTCCGCCTGTAGCTCTTATAGGGTTACTGCCGGTCCCAAGACCGGGTAAAGGAGGAGGGTTGGGCATGGGGTTAGCGTCCCCATCCCGTAGAAAACTAACTCGCTAAAAAAACGCTTACCAGAAAAAATAATCCAAACCATTTTAACTCTGCCCTGGGAGTTAGAAGGTCTTCATTTAGAAGAAATATGACGCTTCATGGTGAAAGCCGAGTTCCTTCGGAAGCCACGAGGCCGATGCCCCTCCTAACAACCAGAGCAACAATTTTTATAGGTACATGGAACGTTCGAACAATGTGGGAAACCGGGAAAACCAGTCAAACAGCAACGGAAATGAGGAGATACAACTTGGGAGTACTGCGAATCAGCGAAACCCACTGTACACAAGCTGGACAGAAAAGGCTAGCTACGGGAGAGATGCTACTATACTCCGGCCACAAAGAGGAAAATGCTTCACACACTCAGGGAGTCGCTCTAATGCTGTCCAAAGTAGCACGACATGCACTTGTAGGATGGGAATCTCACTGATCCAGAATCATCAAAGCATCATTCAAAACAAAGAAGGAGGGGATCTTAATGAATATTATCCAATGTTATGCACCCACAAATGATAGCAACGACGACATTAAAGATCAGTTCTACGAGCGGCTGCAGTCAATCATTGAGAAATGCCCAAGAAAGGACCTAACTATTCTGATGGGAGATCTAAATGCCAAAGTCGGAATAGACAACACTGGATATGAAGATATTATGGGACGACATGGACTGGGAGAGAGAAACGAAAATTGAGAAAGATTTGCAAATCTATGTACATTCAACAAATTCGTCATAGGAGGCACAATATTTCCACACAAGCGTATACACAAGGCTACATGGATTTCATCAGACCACACTACAGAGAACCAAATAGATCATATTTGCATCAACAAAAAATTCCGAAGGACAATGGAAGATGTGAGAACCAGGAAAAGCGCTGACGTAGCTTCAGATCACCACCTAGTTGTGGCCAATTTAAAACTGAAGCTAAAAAAGAACTGGACAAGTGGACAAACAGCACTACAAAGGTTCAATATAGCTTTCTTTCGAGATACTGACAAACTCGATGAATTCAAGATAGCTCTCAACAACAGGTTCCCAGCCTTACAAGATCTACTGGAGGAAGAAGAAACTACTATGTAAGACAACTGGGAAGGTGTCAAAGAAGCATTAACTTCAATGTGTCAAGAGGTTCTGGGCCTCAAGAAGCATCATTATAAGAAATGAATCTTTATAGAAACACTGGATCGGATCAAAGAAAGGAAGAACAAGAAGACAGCAATTAACAACAGCCGAACACGAGCAGAGAAAGTTCAAGCACAAGCTGAATACATAGAAGCGAACAAGCAAGTGAAGAAGAGTATTAAAGCGGACAAGAAGAAATACGTGGAAGAACTAGCAACGACGGTGGAAAAAGTAGCAAGAGAAGGAAATACGAAACAGATTTACGATACAACGAACAAACTAGCAGGAAAATATAGTAAACCAGAGAGACCGGCCAAAGACAAAGAAGGCAAGCTAATCACTGAAATTCAACAACAGCGGAACAGATGGGTAGAATACTTCGAGGAACTCCTGAATAGGCCGGCTTCAATCAATCCATCGGACATCGAAGCGGCACACACAGATCTTCCCATAGACGTCAACCCACCAATGAAGGGAGAAATCAGAATGGCCGTCAGACAAATCAAGAACGGGGAAGCAGCGGGACCCGACAATATACCAGCTGAAGCACTGAAGTTAGATATCGAAGCAACTACAAACATGCTTCACCTTCTATTCAAAAAGATTTGGGAAGAGGAACAAGTGCCGATAAACTGTAAAAAAGGACACCTCATCAAGATTCCAAGGAAAGGAGATCTGAGCAAATGTGAAAACTATAGAGGCATTATACTACTGTCAATACCAGGGAAGGTCTTCAACAGTGTTGCTGAACCGGATGAAAGATGCAGTAGACGCCCAACTTCCAGATCAACAAGCTGGATTCCGTAAGGATCGATCATGCACAGACCAAATTGCAACACTACGGATCATCGTCGAACAATCAGTTGAGTGGAACTCATCACTATACATCAACTTCATTGATTATGAAAAAGCATTCGACAGTGTAGATAGGAAGACATTATGGAAACTTCTTCGACACTACGGAATTCCTGAGAAGATTGTCAACATTATCCGGAACTCATACGACGGACTACAGTGCAAAGTCGTGCATGGAGGACAGCTGACACATGTATTCCAAGTAAGGACCGTAGTGAGACAAGGCTGTTTACTCTCTCCCTTCCTCTTTCTTCTGGTGGTCGACTGGATAATAAAGACCTCGACATCTGAAGGAAAACACGGAATACAATGGACAGCTAGAAATCAATTAGACGATTTGGACTTCGCAGATGATCGAACCCTCCTATCGCATACACACGAACAAATGCAAATAAAGACAGCCAGTGTAGAAGCAGTCTCTGCATCAGTAGGCTTCAGCATACACAAAGGGAAAACCAAGGTCCTCAAATTCAACACAGAGAAAAGCAATCCAATCACTCTTGATGGCAAAACTCTGGGAGATATAGAATCTTTCACATACTTGGGAAGCATAACCGATGAACAAGGTGGTTCAGGTGCAGACGTAAAGGCGAGGATCGGCAAAGCAAGGACAGCATTACTACAGTTAAAGAACATATGGAACTCAAAACAACTTTCAACCAATATCAAAGTGAGAATCTTCAATACGAACGTCAAGGCAGTTCTACTGTATGGAGCTGAAACTTGGAGAACTACAACAACCACCATCAAGAAGGTACAAGTATTTATAAATAGCTGTCTACGCAAGATACTCAACATCCATTGCCCGGATACCATCAGCAATAGCCTTCTGTGGGAGAGAACAAACCAACTTCCAGCTGAAGAAGAAATTAGGAAAAGACGATGGAAATGGATAGGACATACATTACGCAAATCGTCAAACTGCATCACGAGGCAAGCGCTAACTTGGAATCCTGAAGGGAAGCGAAAAAGAGGAAGGCCAAAGAACACATTGCGTCGGATAATAGAAGCAGATATGAAAACGATGAATTACAACTGGATGGAGCTAGAAAGGATTGCCCAGGACAGGGTTGGATGAAGAATGCTGGTGAGCGGCCCATGCTCCTTCATGAGGAGTAACAGGCGTAAGTAAGTAAATCTATTATTCTTATAACATTATATTATGAAGCGTCAATCCTTTCTGAATTCTTGTCTGACGGATAGACTTGTCCTGATTTCTTTAAACGGCTCGCTGAGTAATCGATTACCTTCCAAATAATAAATACAGTAAGACGACTATATAGAGTACTTGAATATTCATCTCCGAATAAATCCTTAGTTTATGAATTAAAATGTATCACAAAAAAGTAGAGAGTAAGCAACTTAAGATCCAGTTCTTTACAGAATCAAGAAGTTTAAACTATCACTATATAATTAGAAGAAGCTTGAATAAATCACAATTCACCTGAATTACTTTGATGTACAATATTAACCCATGGATACATAGATACTGTTGACCTTACCAATGTATCTAAAATAATTTCTGGTTAAGATATTGCTTATTTTATTTTTATTAGGATTTCATTCAGAAAACTTTGTAATATTTTGCGTACATAGATCTATTGTTTAGCTATAATCATATACATATCGTCATCTATCCGCATGAATCTTTGGTAAATATGCGAAGAGGGAACAAAATGCATGAGATCATATTTCAATTAAGTGTTATATTTAATAAAACATTCTTTTGTAATAATTCGGTATTATATATTCTCACAACGGGGATTCGTGAAGATTAGAGCATGTCCACATTTGAATTTACGAATCGGTCTAAGCTCAATCACTATTGAAAACCTGGAAGCACTGGATGAACATTTCATCCTAGTATAGGACCCCTCTGTAGTGCTTATTCACGACCCCGCACGCGGATTTCGAACCCAGGATTTTCGATCGCGCGAGCGAACTCTTAACCTCTAGACCACTGACTTGTCTGACTCAGACAATGGATGAAAGGATTAAGATTAAGCGTCCACTTGCGAGATCGAAGGTTCTGAGTTCGAGCCTCGAGTGAGGGATCGTGAATGTGCACTTCTGAGGAGTCTCATACTATATATTTATTTAGTATGACATTTATTGTTCGCTTCTATTAATTTAGGGTGACATTTGATCAAGATAACCCTCAATCGCCTAATTCCAGTGTGAAATTTAGTTTCATTACAAACTGTCCCGGTTATGTATGACACTAGTTGACTGATTATTAAATGACATTAAAATCTATAGACAAATGAGTGTACTTGATAAATAAATTATTGTCAGGCTACTGGACGATGAATAACATCTTCATATGCTATTCCTTTTCACCTTCTTTATGTCGTGTAAACCTGTTTTCGAGACAGTGGAGAAGATATGTAACCCAGGTGGAACAATGAAAGTTCCACAACCAAACTATCCAGCTCAAAGAACAAAACTTCATCAAAACCGGCTTTCTCCAATAATCAAGGTTCAGTTTTCACAGTTATAGCAAGAATTCGGTTACTTAAGCTGCACTCTAAAATACTTCTAGATATTGATGATCACAATCTTGTGTAGAATCATTTACAGTTGCCGGTTTAATATTCGGTAAAAAAGACCTACTTACTTGCCCAAATGAATTTTGCAGACAATGGCAAACTGAAGTGTACGACAAAAAGACATTCATTCTAGTAAAACAGTCATTAAGCATTTCTAGGATCCATAAGAAAACTGTTGTCAAATGCAAAACACAATAAAAATGACTGACGGACTATTTAAAAATTAAGAGAAACATTCTCATGATATCAAGCAATATTATATCCTGAAAATGTAAAGACCTGTTTTGCATTTCAAAAAATCATCCAAACACTTACCGAATATAACTGATAGGTTGGCATTTAAATAACATTTTATATGAAGCCCAATAACGTTGAAGTAAGATTCGATTATTGAATTCGGTCGGCGCCAGAGCATTACCAGCGGGCTGTAAGTAATTTGACAGATAACTAGACTAAAATGAGTTTTTTCAACGAATAAATACATAACTAGCTGAATAGTGAAAAATGACTTGTTGAAGTTGTTATATCCTGGTGAAAATTAAATTACGGGTAACTTCTGGGACCTATAAATGGACTAATATTATATATATACTTAATGTATGACTTTTCAGTAGCTAGATTGTGTATATCTATATTCCTCTTATTATAAGCTTTATGCGATTTGCTGTTCTTAAGTGCTGTTCAGTTTATTGATTACAGTCTCTCATGTTCACAGGCACTTTTTGGCTTGGTTTTGTAAAAATGTTATTTCCTATTTTATGGTGTGATGTGGTCTGTTTGACTGGTATATGAATCAAATATGATTGAAATGAATGACTAGAATAGTGGAAGCTGTTATTGGCGTTCTGGATTCAACCAGACAGATTAGACGAAAAAAAGATCAATAAGGACATTAGGCTGCTCGAACCGGTCGAACGTCATTGATTTAGCACAGTAATAAAATTGAATAAGTCGTATTTCGATTGCCGAATAAATCACGTGATAACTAGCTGGCTTACAGACAACAGAAGTAAAGAATAATAATAAAGTAGGATGAGTTGTAAGATCAACACTTAACAGATCATCCTAAAATATGATAGTTTATCATGAGAATGACCTAGCGAAATTTTAAAATAAATAGATTGTGGCTAGGTTTGGAGACTAATACAAGCATTCCGTCCTGCTTGGGACTGGTCGGATGAATAAGCTTGCAGCTCAGTGTTGATATTCACATTGGAACTAGGAAAGAATTGTAAATATCATCACGGATAGTTCAGCGAAATATGGTAATAACAACCTAATGTAAGTTTGTAATGAACTTAGAGAGCTTACATTAATAAGTCAAAATAATGACTTCAACCATGAGAGACAATTGTTATAGATGGACAAATGTATCAAAATCTTAGAATATTATTTGTCGGATCTTAAATTACTGACCGAGTCACAATGTGTTGCTTGCTAAATTCTGAGGCCTTGGATTCTACTCCTGTATACAAAAGTCACAATTTCCCAATTCTGATGAATTCCCAACCTAAAACGAATTAACTATACAATACACTCAATTATACTACAGTGTTCCATTAGTTGAAATTATCTAAAAACATTTATACAAAAACTTTTACTTCCATGTCCTATTAAGTGAAAATAATATTTGTGAAGTATTAAAGAATAAAAACCATTAATTTAAGTAGTAAAAACCAAACTGAAATGTGTTCCCTATTAGTGTACCCAATCACTGTCTCGAAAAATAACACCACAATTTCTGCATTAGAAAGGATGATATTTAAGAAAAACAATAATAAATAAAAGTATTCAGTTCTTTGGTTTTCATTGAAATGAATTCGTTATGAAAGTAAACAATATGTACGTAGAATTTCATTGAAAATGAAAACAATGCAATAATCATATACAATAAATCAGTAAACTGAATAACAAAAATGAAAATCATGAAGGGAATATGTAATTTGTAAGCAAATGATTGAAAAATAACAAATAAATGTGAAGGCTGAGATTATCAGTCAAACTTTCAGTGTTCAAGTATTGTGAGTTATATTGAGCACTTGCAGTGGTTAACCCAATGGCAAACCCACATGGTTTATTTTAGCTTTCGTACAGAATAATTTATTCATTCTTCTTGAGTCAATTTTGACCATGTCAATTATTCGTCTCTCTTTGCCTAAATTTGATCTGACTATAAATAACGATTCACACTTGGTTAAAGAGATTTGGTTCACACGCCTTGTCCACCGTGTGTAATTTTGCTTCGCTCTCTTCTCTTCGGTTTGTTTCTCTGATTATCTTTCTGGGTGAATGAGTGTACGAAATATACGTAATCAAAACTTCATTATCATATTTGACTTATTTAATTCCTTTATTCACTGACCCGATCAAAGTCGATGATAATATGCGAGTATTGACAATAGGTATATTTCAATAACAATCATAATACTATTTAAATGGAGTCAGATATAGGGCCACTAAACACTTTCGATGTTTTTTCATCTAATAATTAAGTTATTGTTGCATATCAGAGTGAAATTTTCACCAGAGATTTAATTTCAAAATCTAACTTTCAACTTATTTGTGTTGTTTTTATTTTATAGTTTGAGTTGCGCTACACTGACATGTTTGTAACGTATAGTCACGAATAACTCCAGACTCTTTAAATGAAACTTTCAATGAGAACTACAATACATAGTACTCACCTACGAAATGAACGAGAAAATTGCCCACAGTACTGAACATAATACATAATACTTGAACAATGAGAACATGATGAATAATCTCAAACTAAAATGAAATGTGTTTTCATTGAAAACATAAAATTATGGTACAAAATAAGATGAAGATCAACAACTAAACATCAAATTATACATACACACATACACAGTCAGATAAACAAAGCTTCAACATATCAAACAGTTAGTGAGTGAGTATACTAACACAAATAAGGTTATAACATCAATTATTTTACATATAACTGATAAGCAACCTAAACAAAAAATGAATGACCTAAGAAAAATAGGTTAAAAAGTGTTCGATACATAAAATATCAATACTCGAGCCATTAATGGGTAAATGATAATGTTTTAGGCATTAGTCTGGAGTCGCTATTTACAGTTATACTATTAAGAGAGTTCGTTGGGGTTTAACTAACTTCATGTTGTTAAGCCCTAAGTGAATACTTTTTCTTCATTTCATGATTGGAAGTAGTGTATTCTGGAACTAGTAGACAATCGTTAGGAAGATGAACTTAGAATCTTCAGAGAACTAATATTTCTTCAAAGATCAGAACCTACATCAGTCGGTGTTAGTAGAATTTGATCAACAGTAACGAGATAAAATGACATCGTTATCTATTCAGTGAAGAATAAATGTTAACATGATAATATTGCAATAGGTAATGAAGTTTGAAGACTACTTGGTTGGGGTCTGAGCAATCACGAATCATAGCTGTATCATACGTAAACACAAGCTAAAGAAAAAAGCAGACATCAAAGTGCACTGAATTATTGAATAACTTCTGAATGTCATTTGGGTTAGCTTAGCGACCTTATTAATATATTATTTCACAGAAAATTCGAAATAAGAATGTAATGTAAACCAGTAACTATATGTTCTTATGTATGGATCTTAGCTATTTTGTTAGAGGATGAGTGATGTACAAAGAATTAAGAGATATGAATGTATGAACCAACACGTTTGATAGCTGTTTTTGTGTAAATCACTAACTTTAGATAAATTATTTATTGGAATCAGTCAAGCCAGTGTGGATGGCACAGGAGCTTAGAGATGGGATTGCATAAGTTTCTCAGTATGAAAAAAACATTTCAATTAAATTGAAGATGTGGACTACTGGATCTTAACACAATGAAATGAAGATATCATGCTAAGACATCTGTAAGTATGGAAATTATTATACGTTGTCGAAAAGTACATTACTTCTATGAGACTTTCAGAAGCCTACACTTTAACTCACACTTAATAGTGAGCTGTTAGAAGTAGTCGGAAGGTTAGCGTAGCTGAGTAATTGTGCAAGTGCTGGTGATTATGTGACAGATGAGGTCAGTTTAGTTATAGTGAAACTCAGAACGGCTAATGACAATCTGGGACGACTTTAGTATAATCGTGATGTTAAATCATCTGTAAAAGGTCGAATTTACAATGTGTTGGTGAGGGTAATATTGCCCTATTCTTTTGAAACCTAGCCGAATTGGAGAATCTCAGGATCCAATCATCGTTGTATCCGAGAGACTGTTGGAATCTGACAACTAAGCCGTGTTAGAAATCCCGAGGTTCAACAATGTGACTTTGAAAGCAGTCACGAAAACTCAACTGTTGCTATACTGGTACACTGATTTAGGTAAATTGGGTAGTTTTTACGAATGTTATCTACATTGTAAATTATTTTCCCGCACTAGAGTTGGGTGGTCGAAAGCAGAGGTAGTCAGTTTATGACAGATAATTGTGGAATAAAAGAGAACTATAAATGATTGAGGGCATCTGTCGGTCCAACACGACTTCCTGGTTGGAATCCTAGGAATTATGAAACTCAGTGGCTTAATATATTATCAGACATTATTCTAAGCAGAAGGCCATGGCGATGCTATTATAGTTTTTAGTTACACTGTATCTAAAAATGAGAGAAATTCCCTTTACATGGAAAAATCCATTTTGGTTATATGTACTCTGTCACCCCTTCTTAATTTCTTCTTCTATATTCTGTGTGGTACATACTATTAAAAGTACACAGATGCACTAGGTATTAAGTATTAAATAAATCATAAAATATAAATGTTCAATAGTTTATTCAATAATGAGGTTGTAAGAAAATATTGCTGAACCGTTTCAAACTAGAAACCGATGATACATATCAAGTTCATGGTTTTGACAGTTCATCACTATGTTGTGTCAGTTCATGATATAAATCATCTCCAATGACTTATCATAATATTTTTATATAAAACGAATTACACAACAAATTGAATGTGATTACACTTATAAAACAATAAATACATCCAATAAGAAAAACAAATTTGTTTGAAACATCATTTACAACAACCATGTTCCCAATAGTCCTTGATTAATGTGTAGTTGTGATATTACAACATATATAACTAATCATGAAAAATGTGTAAATAAAATAGTGTACACCATTTTGTGAGGAGGAGAAGGAGGAGGAGGAGGAAAAAAATTTAAAAAAAAGAACAAATTAAAAATATTAATTTGATAAAGAGATATAATGTGATAAATAAGCGAACATATAAACAGATAAGCATATATAATTTAGACACAGATCTACTTACCCCATAACAACTGGGAGATATTGTTTTTTGTTGTAAAGTTATTAGTGATAACTTTTTAGTTGGCTAATTTCATGGCACAGAAAATTTATACGTGTGTATAGTTTAATGTTAACAGAAGGTACATAACAAAGTTTTACACTTAAATTATTATGAACTATGAAAGGCATAAAGTGTGACAGAATAGTTGCTGAGTGATTTAAACATTTGATTTTTGGTTACAGTAACCTCAATTTAAAAACTCACTATATCTACTTCAATTCAATCAACTGGGTAGTGGTAATAGAGTAGTAATAACACTATCTAACAAATAAACAGTATGACGGGAAATCAGGTATATCCGCATACAGTTGGTCAGTGAATTATATCGAATGAAAAATTAAATATATAGATTTAACTATCACATTATAACAACAGTGAATTGAAATTATCAAGACAAATGCCAGAATATAAAAAGTAGTGACGGTATCAGTGGTAGTGGGAAACATTAGTAAATAGATAACAAGACTCAATAAAAAAACCATATCAAAAAGTGGAAGATAATTTTCAAACTTGACATCTAAAGGATGTTAATAAGTGAACGCGTCTACGCCATTGTAGTCAATTCTAAACCATATAGTCTAGCAGTAGTATCAGCCACTGGTTACGATGATTGCGTGGACCCTAACTTGGTAGTCTTCATTTGCTAGCATAGCTTCATTCAACAATTTATACCGCCAAATGCCCTGGTACAGCCAAATCCTACCTCCCATGCAAAACTTTTCCGTACTGTCATTTATTTATAATCATTGTAAAGGAAGTCCTATTCACTACTTTCATGTGGTGAGGTTGTCATTTAAGAAAACAGAATGACAAGAAGCGAACGTCCGGTGGGTTGGTGGATAAAAATAATACATCTACGGGAATCGGAAAGTTCTGATTCTAAACAAACGATATAAATGGGCTCAATGATCCTATAGAAACGAATAATGTTGGAACCTATTTTGGTCATAGGCTACAGTGAAACGATATCTTCTAACGTTATTTCACTGTCTTGTGGATTAAACCTTTAGATCCGGAGCCTAGAAAATATCTCAGTACATACATAAAAAATATTTCTTTTGTGCCCAATTGCACTAACTGTTATATGAATTAAACAAACACCTAAATCCTGAGCTTATACCAAGTTTTTTTCAACCTACTAATTCCTGTACCAGTAAATATCACAAGTTGTTCCTCGAAGCAAGTGCTGAAGTAGGTGGATTCGCCTGATTTTTATTTTCACAGGAATAATACATTTATATCAAAGAACAATGAGACATTATTAGTAACATAATGATGAAATAATTTTTTTGGCAAAAAGGCGAACAAAACTGCAGGAAGATAAAGATGTTTTAAACGCGATGAGTATTCATCACTAATAGCTACTATATTATTTAATAGGAAATAGTATACAACGCCTGGAGTTATTCACACTGATATCATGATATTTAAACAAGACTGATAGAAAGTGATCAACAGTGAAACCATGAATTAATTCAACATGATAATCATTCACTTGGACATTCCATTGCAAAGTGGTGATTGGAAGTAGTCG